CAAGCAAGCACTCTTTGTCAGATACTGTATCTGAAGAAACAACAAAATTTGAGTCCAGAGGCATCTTTAAGACCAACAAAGTTTAACTCTGGGTTTAACTTTTTGTGTGCATGCACACGTCTTCAGATCGAACCATGTAAGTGTGAACAGGAAAGCTTATACCATGAATAAAACTTTGTCAGTCTTAAAGGTGCCACTGGACTCAAACTTTGTTCTCCTGCTTCAGACAACCCAGCTATCCCACCTGACTCTGCCTATGTTCCAGTCTCCAGACTTGGAATGAGGAAAGAGGGGAAGGATGTGTGTGTATATGTAATGTATCCAGTCCTGACCGCGTGGCTGGCTTGGGCTCCATGCGGTCAGGCACAAACGAGCTTTGCTCCAAGAGACAATGGACTATGCGGATCCTAGCCCACTCCAATCAGGGGGCTAGAGCCTATGAGACTCTCGGCCACTGTAAACAACCTATTGGGAAGTGGGGGTGTGTGTTTTGGGTGGCGGTTTCTCGGGGAATATAAGCCGGCTTGCGAGCTGGCCAAAGGCGTCTTGTTCCTGATCAAATAAAGTACGCTTTGCTGAAATCACTCTCTGTCTGCATACTTTTCACTGGCGACGAAGGTGGGATTCATTTCCCTCTGAACAGAGACCACGTTCCGGACATCACCGCTCACTGCCACGCCGAAATTGCCACCGCCGAAGACATTGAGAGTCTTCGAGAATCGCCGCTCACCGCACTGCTCCCGAGCTCCAAGGACTATTTTCCTGGCGGCATACTCCTACGCTCTCATCCATCGCCCTGGCAACGCAATGGGCCATGCGGATGCCCTAAGCTGCCTGCCGCTGCTGGTCTGTGACCCGGATCCTGCTCCCGCCCACCAGATCGCTCTCCTGGAGTCCCTTCCAGATCGGCCAGTCCACATCGCGGAGGTGGCTCGCAGCACCTCCAAGGACAAGGTACTTTGCCGGGTCTTGGGCTGGGTGGTGAGGGGGTGGCCCGCGGCCAAAGGAGACCCTGACGTAACGCCCTTTGCTTCTCGGAAGGAGAAGCTGTCCGTCCACAGGGGCTGTGTCATGTGGGGAAGTAGGGTGGTCATTCCAAAGCCCCTACGGGAACGGGTCCTCACCGCCCTTCACGAAGCGCACCCCGGGGTGGTGTGCATGAAAGCCTTGGTGGTGGTGCATGAAAGCTATGTCTGGTGGCCGGGGATGGACCGGGACATAGAGAACGTGGTGAAGCGATGCCAACCTTGCCAAGCATCCCGGCCTGAGCCTCCCCGAGCCCCGGAACGGGCCTGGGAATCTTCCCACCGCCCCTGGTCCCAGTTACACTTGAACTTTGCGGGACCGTTCCAGGGGCAACTTTTCTTTATCCTGGTGGATTCCTTCAGCAAGTGGCTGGAGGTAGTTCCCATGCCTTCAACCTCCTCGAAGGTGGCCATCCGGGCGATGTGGTGGATATTCACTGCTCAGGGAATCCCGGAAATGCTGCTCGCGGATAACGGGATGGCATTCATATCCATGGAGTTCCTGGACTTCACGAGATACTACGGCATCCACCACGTCCGGTCCGCCCTGTTCCACCCCGCAACCAATGGCCAGGCAGAGCGCATGGTCAGGACCACAAAGGACGCTTTCCGCCGCTTGGACTCCTCAGACTGGGTCTATAAGCTACCTGCTTTCCTTTTCGGCCAGCGAACTACGCCCCACACTACTACGGTACGCAGCCCGGCAGAGCTACTTCTCGGCCGCCATCTGACGACCCGGCTGGATCACCTGCACCCCGACCGAACCCTGGCTGATGCACCAGCCACGGAGACACATGAGGCAGCCAGGGGGTTCTTCCTGGAGGAACCCGTGTACGCTGATCAAAGTTTTATTCATGGTATAAGCTTTTGTGTGCAAGCAAGCACTCTTTGTCAGATACTGTATCTGAAGAAACAACAAAATTTGAGTCCAGAGGCATCTTTAAGACCAACAAAGTTTAACTCTGGGTTTAACTTTTTGTGTGCATGCACACGTCTTCAGATCGAACCATGTAAGTGTGAACAGGAAAGCTTATACCATGAATAAAACTTTGTCAGTCTTAAAGGTGCCACTGGACTCAACCTTTGTTCTCCTGCTTCAGACAACCCAGCTATCCCACCTGACTCTGCCTATGTTCCAGTCTCCAGACCGGAACGAGGAACTCGGGCCCTGAGGAAAGAGGGGAAGGGTGTGTGTGTGTGTGTGTGTGTGTGTGTGTGTGTGTGTGTGTATAAATATATCTCGGACGGATTGGCGGGGTGGCAACGACAGGGTGCTAAAAACCCGGCCAGACATTCTATTCTGGCTCGCTCTTTAGTTAGTTCCCAGCCAGGTGGCCAGAGAGCCCGTTCTGTAATCCAGTCAGTCCTCTCATTCTCAAGCACTGCGGGCCTCGCTCTAAAGAGCCGCCAGCCTCTTCCGAGCGACCCACTTGCTGCGCCAGCCAGGGCCTCTGCTGAAATCACTCTCTGTCTGCATACTTTTCACTGGCGACGAAGGTGGGATTCATTTCCCTCTGAACAGAGACCACGTTCCGGACATCACCGCTCACTGCCACGCCGAAATTGCCACCGCCGAAGACATTGAGAGTCTTCGAGAATCGCCGCTCACCGCACTGCTCCCGAGCTCCAAGGACTATTTTCCTGGCGGCATACTCCTACGCTCTCATCCATCGCCCTGGCAACGCAATGGGCCATGCGGATGCCCTAAGCTGCCTGCCGCTGCTGGTCTGTGACCCGGATCCTGCTCCCGCCCACCAGATCGCTCTCCTGGAGTCCCTTCCAGATCGGCCAGTCCACATCGCGGAGGTGGCTCGCAGCACCTCCAAGGACAAGGTACTTTGCCGGGTCTTGGGCTGGGTGGTGAGGGGGTGGCCCGCGGCCAAAGGAGACCCTGACGTAACGCCCTTTGCTTCTCGGAAGGAGAAGCTGTCCGTCCACAGGGGCTGTGTCATGTGGGGAAGTAGGGTGGTCATTCCAAAGCCCCTACGGGAACGGGTCCTCACCGCCCTTCACGAAGCGCACCCCGGGGTGGTGTGCATGAAAGCCTTGGTGGTGGTGCATGAAAGCTATGTCTGGTGGCCGGGGATGGACCGGGACATAGAGAACGTGGTGAAGCGATGCCAACCTTGCCAAGCATCCCGGCCTGAGCCTCCCCGAGCCCCGGAACGGGCCTGGGAATCTTCCCACCGCCCCTGGTCAGAAAGAGCCCCCCCACACACACACCGTCAGCAGAAAGGTGGCAGCTCGTGGGGCACAAAAGATCGTCAGTCTTCACATTAACGTGCCTGCCTGACTTTGATAGATACTGTTTGGCCGGAACTCAAGGGCGTTTATGAAGAACAAGGTTGGAGTCCAGCGGCACCTTTAAGATCAACAACTTTTAATTCTGGGCATCAGCATTCGTGTGCACGTGCACTTCTTCAGATACTTTGAAACAGAAGTCGCCAGCCATTACTTATAAGTAGAAGGGGTGGGGGGTTAGTTGCGGGAAGGGCTAGTTACAGTCAAGATGGCATATGTAAATGAGCAGTAAGTATAGTTAAGATTAGATTGAAGCAATTGGTGAAAACTGTGAATAGCAGCAAATTAGCTTACACATAAAAGAGTTAACAAACAGATGTGAGAATGAAGATTGAGGACACTGGCACCTTTAAGAGCAGCAAAATTTTATTCTGGGTATAAGAGGACTTAGCGTGTGTAGATGCACACTTTTTCAGATACATTAAAACAGACTTAATCCAATCTTAGCTATACTTATTGCTCAGTTACTTATGCATCCAGCCCTTCCTGCCAACTAAACCCTCCCACCCTCTCTCTACCTATATGTAAGACTTGAGGAAATCTGTGTGCATGCACGTAGAAGCTTATACCCAGAATTAAACTTTGTTGGTCTAAATGTGTCACTGGACTCCAACTTAGTTCTGTTGCTTGAGACCAACATGGCTACCCACCTGCATTTGTGAAGCACTCAGGTTATTGCCATTAGAAACGGATCTGCCTTTCAGATGGGTTTGAACAAACCCTAACTAGTGGGGTATCTGATGCTCAGGTTCCCAAATACTTTATCATACACTACCACTTTCACAGGTCTCTGTTAGATCCAGTTCTGTTCCTTACCTGAAATTAACTTCTTAGTAATGCCTGATTGCCTTATACAGAAGGGGCTAATTGAGCAAGAAGGGTCTCACAATAGAGAGATCATTCAGTTCCAGTTATGAACTGTAATCTAGTCTTCCTCATTCAGGGTTCACTTTCTAGGAGAAGGTATGATGTGTATTGGGTTATCTGCTGTAGTGGATGGAAAAGCATAAGGTACTGAGAATTTAAAGACCCCAAAGTATGGTTGTGGAAATTTAAGTGATTCTTAATACTCATACTATGCATCTGAAGTGAGTAAATCCCTGCTTTTAACTTTGTTTCACTTATTTCAGAATAGAGACTATTTCATTGCAGCCCCCCCCCCCCCCATATTCCCCAAAGTTTCCAATTGTGAAAAACTGGGGGGGGGGGATTCCTTGGGTCCAGGGGGAATCCCCTAGAATTTTCCATGTCTTTTCAGAGCCTTCATCTCTTTAGTTCCATTTATTTCTGCCCTAATACCCAATATTCATTGCAGGGATTTTAGATCCCTGAGTGTATTTATGCCCTGGCCTGAATAACCCAGGCTAGCCTGATCTTGTCAGAGCTTGGAAGCTAATCAGGGTTGACCCTGGTCAGTATTTGGAAGGGAGACCACCAAGGAATACCAGAGTGATGTACCTAGTATGTACCTAGTAATGGTCTAATATATTTATTCTAGTAGTCTTGAAAGTGTTTGTGACAAATCTCACTTAACTTGAATAAGCATCAGCTTTTGTTTCTTGTTTTGTTTTGTGTCTCTGCTAATGGCATATTTAGCGCACAGTACTTGGAATTCATTCTGCTTTGCTTTTAATACCTGTCCTCTCTTTCCAGGCGTTTATAATGATGATCAGCCTCTGAATGAATAGCTAAAGCAGGAAACTCAGCTGATGCTCCAGGCACTGACATCTTCTGCACAGATCTCTTAAAGTGAATGGGACAGGTCAGTAACTGCTGTCCAGGCTAGTATCTGATGCACAGTCTCTTCAAGTCAGTGAAGCATTTTCTAGTACTCTGATTTCAAGAGGCATGGAAACCCCTTGAATCTTACAATTATTTACCTAACACACCTAAAACAGAATTTTTTCAGAAGTTTAAATAATTTTGGCAGCAATGAAAACCTAAAATGTGTTTAATGATAATTCACAAAGAGTTCAGTGTTTTCGGTGTTACAAAGTTCAGCTTAATTGCCAAACATGTTGGCACTGGCAGGCCTACCTGTTGTGACTCTATGGGAGAATGTTGGTCCAAACCATACACTTTTTTGCTTATTACAAAATTTGTTTTCTACCTTCAACTTTTATTTTTTCGTACATCTCAGTTGGCAAAAATTAAAGACATCTGTACTATAGTAGCATAGGGTACCGCAGTTTGCAACTCTTTCTCAAGTATTGGGTATACTTGCAATTTTTCTTATAGATAGTAAAGACATTTATACTTTTAAACTCCAGAAATACGCCAAACAGTATAGGTTTATGTGCTCATTATTTGTGAATTTCCTGCATTGTACAGGGGGTTGGACTAGATGATCCTGGAGGACCCTTCCAACTCTGTGATTCTAAGTTATGTGACACATTTTATGTTGTTCAATTCTTGAAGGAAGTTTTTGTTAGATAAGAAGGAGAGTATTGTATGTATTTCAAACCCCCCATTTCCTCTTTTTCTGGGGGGAAAAACCCCACATTGGGGGAAAGTCCCCCCACCCCAATGGCTTCAAAGTTTCTGGAAGTTTTACATCTATAGGACTCTTCCTGTGTCTTTCTGAGGGTGGGAAAGGGTGACTATAGGGATTGGGTTGATGGTTACAATCCCAATGCCTTGCTGTACATTCAGTGCACAGATGATTATAACATATCATATTTTTTGAAAAATATTTTTACAATAATTTCTTATATAATTATTCATCTTAATCACAATATAAGAAATATCAAAAATATCAAATATCATCTCCAAAGAATCTCATAAGATAATGTACAACCTTATAATTAATATTAGTCCTTCCCTGTTAAATGTTTCAAAAGGGAGGACTCCTTAAAGTCTCTTTGTAACATGTGCTCTGTCTTCCTCCAACAGAGGTCCAGATATCCTTCTGTTTCAGAATCTTCCTCAGGGAGTTCAACAATAATTTTCAGCACAAGGTTGCCAAATACCACAGTTTTTATCCAAAGTTCTCTTTCAATGAATGCTGCAAAAGAGTTTTCAATGAGCTACAAGCCTCCTCCAAAATGGAAAGCATTGAGAGTGTAGCCTTGAACTCAACCCCTGTAGTCACTGAAGTCTTCCTCCCTAAAAAAAGGAAAGCAAGAAGTTTTGTTTGTTTCCATACTGTATTAAAGAGTGGCTAATTTAAAGTCAGTAAACTTTTGAAAATTGAAACTGTGTAAACTTGGCATTCGTCAGAAAAACAAAACCAAATAAACAGTACAGCAGAAATAATGAGCAGCAACTTTCCAAATTCTTGAGACCAACTTGGCAATGACCTTGTGAAGTAGTTTAGGTTGGGAGAGAATCTGATTACCCTGTGAATGTCAAGGGTCCATTCTGCATCTGGCATTCACTCCACATTTCCTCAGGACTGACGAAAAGGTGTAGCTCAAAGCCACATTCAGATATCCTGGGGCGAGCTGTACCAACTGTGAAGTCACGCTGAACAGCAGAAGGTACCTTAAAGGTATGCAGAAGGTACCATAAAACTTGATGAACAAAGAAAGTGAAAGCAACATGCAGTGTAGAGGGGAGATTTACGACCTGACATGACTGTGGGAAAACTGATGGGTACAGAATCAGCCATGAGTGGGTTGGAATCTAAAGCCAGGTCTTCCTGGCTGTAGTCCAGCAACCATGCTGGCTTATGCAGACCTTGCGTTGCCTGAAACACATGAAGTTCAAAATAGAGATTCAGATACTATGAATGGTCAGAGAAACAAGTTTGAGTTACATTAAGATTTTCATGTATATGTCACTGACATAAAAAAATTAAGCGGGATTAGAACAATTAATGCTGCCTGAAGTTACTGTCATATTTATGATGTATGGTAATATGCTGTTGAGACATTAGTAAAAAGGTAAAGGTTCCCTTGCTTGAAAGCCAGTCGAGTCCGACTCTAGGGTTGCGGTGCTCATCTCTGTTTCAAAGCCGAAGAGCCAGTGCTGTCCGTCGAACGGCTAGGTTGGCAGGAGCTGGGACCAGAGACGGGCGCTCACTCCGTCATGCGGCACACTCGGGTCTCGAACTGCAGTTCAGCGTCTTAACCACTTGAGCCACCTTAGCTCCTACTGTTAAATTTTAATTCCATATCATTGGTACTCTTCAGAAATGTTTTATTTTTAAGAACCTTTCCTCTAAAAGTGTGAGTTGCCCCCTCGTGATGATACTGCCTGCTCTTCGTAAGTGAATGATCTGGCCACTGGAGATAGTTCTATGTCTGCGCTTGGGTTATAAGCTGAAATGCATGCAATATTAAGTGCTGTGGAAAATAACTCCTTCTCTTCAAGAAGAAAATACTATGTGTTCAGTATCCTTAGCTTTAAGGGCCTTTTCCACAATTTGTTTAGGGCACAATAAATGCAAAGCGTGACTCAATTAGTTTTTCTATTGTTCACCTTTAAAAAAAAAACACAGCTAGTTTTATATGCAGACAGGAGGCTGAAATTGAATATTATAATTTGCTATTGAAAAGGAACTTGTGGAGTATTAGGAAAAGGTAAAAAAAATGATTGGGGAGCATACTTTGGCTGATCTTTAAATTTTAATTCCATATCATTGGTACTCTTCAGAAATGTTTTATTTTTAAGAACCTTTCCTCTAAAAGTGTGAGTTGCCCCCTCGTGATGATACTGCCTGCTCTTCGTAAGTGAATGATCTGGCCACTGGAGATAGTTCTATGTCTGCGCTTGGGTTATAAGCTGTAATGCATGCAATATTAAGTGCTATGGAAAATAACTACTTCTCTTCAAGTAGAAAATACTACGTGTTAAGTATCCTTAGCTTTAAGGGCCTTTTTCACAATTTGTTTATGGCACAATAAATGCAAAGCGTGACTGCAAAGCGTGACTCAATTAGTTTTTCTATTGTTCACCTTTAAAAAAAAAACACAGCTAGTTTTATATGCAGACAGGAGGCTGAAATTGAATATTATAATTTGCTATTGAAAAGGAACTTGTGGAGTATTAGGAAAAGGTAAAAAAAATGATTGGGGAGCATACTTTGGCTGATCTTGTGGAAGTGATCTCCGAAGATGCTAAGCTTCTACATAGCAACCATGTTAAGTGGCCTGTGAGTCTGACTTTTTTTTGCCCCACTCCCAAATAAAAACCTACAGAGGATACTATTATTCATTTAAACTGTAAATGGCCCATAGATGTGCAGACTGGTAGGCTGGTCAAAGATTTTCAGGCTTGTGGGTTGTTTCCCATGCTGTGTGAGCACAGCAATAGTCATGGAAGAGAACTTTACCATCTGTCCATCCTGCCATACACCTTCAAATCCAGCCCTGACCGGGATAGCCCAGCAAGCCGATCTCGTTAGAGCTCAGAAGCTAAGCATGGCCGACCCTGGCAGGTACTTGGATAGGAGACCTCTAAGGAATACCAGAGCTGGGACACAGGGACAGATAATAGTAAGCCATATCTCTGAAACGTTCAAGCCCCACTAGGGGTCTCCAGACTGCCAGACATACACATACACACACATGTAAAATACTCATCCAAAAAATCCTACTCTCAGAAGTTGGTAGAACTCCAGAGAAGGGAGGGAGATAAACTAGGCATCTGCAGTGGGAGTATATAGTTGGTAAAAATTGCTCGTTCTGAAAGTGGATCCCAGGCTTGCAACTTTTGTGGACTGGTTTGGTTTTCTTCTGAACTGAATGTACAGTAACATCTGATGGTAATAACTCTTTCCTCAAATATATGCTTTGTGAACATGCTGACTGAAGCAAATAATTTAAACAAGGAAATGCAAATTCAAACACGTTTCTATTTCCTTACCAGCAGAAGATGATCTCTGTGTTGTGGCTTGCATGCTGGATCTCTGTGGCGTATTCGTTGCATAATAGTAAGTCAAAATGTGCATATTGCTCGCTTGCTTACGTACAGTGTGGATAGAACATGATCATCATGTAGATTCAGTTTTCAAAAATATTATGAAACAGTACATGTTAGCTAACAAATATTGGTGAGAAGCCAGTTTCTTTGTTTTGGTACATTGAAGCTGGTTCACACATGCATATTATGGGAAAATTCATTCTTCCTCAATTACTCACTCTTAGGATGTGTGAACTGCAAAGCAGTGTGAGATAAAGTGAAATTTCCATCTGTAGTTTATTTAAACACATGATTCACCATTAGACTCTGCAGTGAGCAAGCATTTGTTGAGCAGTCCTGTTCCCCTTTCTCGTTTACCAATAAGGTAGTCAAACAAATATGTGGTTTTTGAGTAAAGGATACCGTTTTATCTGCTTCTGTTAAAGGAGAGGATGGGATCATAGTTTTTGAGAACTTTTATTCCTCCAAGTCCTTTAAAATTCTACCAAGCTCCATCATGATGATGCCTATATCAGTTCTTACATGTAGAGTCACTAATAATTTTCTTTGTTATGTCGGGAGTTTGTATAATGGTCTTAAACATCTGCTGGAAAAATCTTAAGTAAAATTCCAGTAATTCAAAAAAAAAGAAGAAGTTGTTGTGCTAATAGTCTCACAGACGGAAAGTTTCACTCTACTTTTTTGGCAGTGCATCAAGCTATAATTAAATGTCAAACAAGCACTATAAGAAAGGCTTTTGGGTTGTTGTTTTTTTGGGGGGGGGTTAAGAAGCTTCTAATTGTAGAAAGCAAGAGTGTTCTCTTGTGGCATCTTGAAGGCCTGTGCTTTTCCAGTATGAAAATTGCAATCAGCAGTCCACTCTCAGTATTACATCTTGGTTGCCTTAACAATTGGGCTTATGCATATTTTGCATTCCGTGTAATATTGAATGAGACACAGAACTAGCTTTCTGGGCTTTGGTATGTACATTTTGATTAAGCCAAATTGTGTTCTCCAATCAATTCCTGTTAAACCGGGCATGAAGTTTCCATTGTTTCATTTTACATTTGAGAGCCAATATGGTGTAGTGGTTTCCAATCCCCACTCTGCCATGGAAATTTGCTAAGTGATCGTGGACTAGTCACACTGTCTCAGCCTAGCCTGCATCACAGGGTGGTTGTTAGGAGAAAATAGAGAACTGTGTAAACCACTTGGGGTCCCCATGTCAGAGAAAGGCGGGGTATATTTGCACAGTATAATGTTGTTTATACGATTCAGAGAAGTTCGGCTATAGCTGAGAATACAGTGCTAGGAAGGAAGGAGATATTTGTGAAGATCAGGAGCAATAGACAGTGGAGGGGATGAGTTAAACTGACTGTCCTGTGATTGCTCAAAATTTCTCTGATTCTTAATAGGGAGTGTAAGTGACAGTGGGTAATAGACCATGGTTTGCTTGCAGCCATAAGGACAAGTAACTAACCTTCCCCCATAGTAACAATGCAGCAGATCTCAAATCCACAGTGGTCTAATACTGAGCAGAATTTGCTGTTATTATATGCAAGCTGAATGCTGTTGTATATTTTCAGATATTTGAGAAGTATCAAATGGAGCAGAGTTGTAAACACATTTTTTTTTTTAGGGTCACGTATTGTTATCCTTGTGCCTGTAGGAGAGGCTGTGGCTATCAGCTGTCCACTATTATCTTCTCAGCAATCTAACCGCAATGTGACTTGGTACAGAAATGGCAGTGTTATACCACTAATAGCAGATAACTACCTGAGGATCCATCAGCGAAGGAACCTGCTTTGGCTTATCCCTGCCAAGATAGAAGATTCAGGATTTTATGAATGTCACATCGGGTATGTCTGTGTGAAGTTAATACTTTCTGTAATTTGGAAAAGCAGTATTATAGGTCTATCTGTTGATACATCTGAACAGGAGATAGTTCAGAGACAGTGATAGGAAAGCACATAATATCTTGAATTGACCAGTTTGATATTGTCAAGTCAAAAAAGACTCTTCTGGCAGAATATAAATATCAGACAGTTCCATCCTAAGTGGAATGCAGCTCTTATTAGCAGGGCTAATAGAAAAAATGGTTTTGTATTTAAATTTTATATTTTTATCAGTCAAGGAAGTATTTTTCATGCCAGTCATGAACACTTGATGATACAGTCTGGTGTCAGTTTGGTATAGTGGTTAAGAGCGGCGGACTCTAATCTGGAGAACCGGGTTTGATTCCCCACTCTTCAACATGCGGCCAGCCGGGTGACCTTGGGTCAGTCACAGTTCTCTCAAAGCTGTTCTCTCAAGAGCAGTTCTCAGAGCTCTCTCAGCCCCACCTACCTCACAGGGTGTCTGTTGTGAGGAGAAGAAGGGAAGGAGATTGTAAGCTGCTCTGAGACTCTGAGGGAAGGGCCGGATATAAATCCAACTCCTCCTCCTACTAATATGAATATAGTTTGTTGTATTTTCAAGCATAAAGGCTAAAGAGAGTAAATGGCTATGATGTTGGCAAGTTTTTCTTCATATTTTTTCTGTGTAAATTTATGTGCCTTGGCATTTCTCAGAAGAATTTTCACTAAATAACTAATTTTATTTATTTATAACATTTTTATGCTGCCTTTTCACCCAGTTTAGGGTTCCTGAGGTGACAAACATTAAAGCAAAACATTAAAACATTCCAGACACTAAAAAGCATTTAAATACATATACATATATATATACACACACAAACACAAACATATTTACAACAATTAAATGAAACGTAATATAAACTCCCTAAAATATAGACACACAAAAACACAGAGACAAGGAGGAGGTCTAAAAGGAGTTAGAACAGCTAGATTCAAGTCTGATAGCACCTTAGAGACCAATAAGATTTTTAGGGCATCAGCATTCGAGACTCCAGGCGCCTTTCGTCAGGCATCTGACAAAGGGACCCCAAAAGTCTTGTTGGACTCCAGGATGCTACCGGACTTGAATCTAGCTGTTCTACTGCAGATCAACATGGCTACTCTCTGAAACTCTTCATAAATAGGAGTTAGTGAGAAAATGCCAAAAAAAACCCCAAACAAACAAAAACCAACAACAACACCTTTCACCTGCTGGCCAAGGGCAACAATAGAAGGAGACAGACAAATCTCCCTTGGGGAGAGAGTTCCAAAGTTTGGGGGCCGTGACCAAGAAGGCCCTTTCTTGGGTTGCCATCTGTCTAGCCTTAGATAGTGGGGGCACCTGAATCAGGGCCTCCAAAGACAACCAGAGTGGTTACATAGATTCATATGAGAGTAAGTGGTCCTTCAGGTATGCTGGTCCCAAGCTGTATAGGGATATAAATGTCAATACCAGCACTTTGCGTTGGGCCAAGAAAGAAACTCGGAGTGAGTATAAATGCAACAAGATGGAATAATAGGGTTTCTATGACCCACTCCTGCCAGCAGTATTCTGTATCACCTGTGGCTTCCAGACAGTCAAGGGCAGCACCATGTAGAGTGCATTACAGTAATCTAGTGTAGCTGTTACCAGGGAATGCATCATAGTGGCAAGATTTTTCCTGCCCCTAAACGTCCATAGCTGTCTCACCAGCTGAAGCTGGTAAACGGTGTCCTGGCTATCACTATCACTTGCACCCCCAAGCTACAAACCTGCTCCATTAGGGAGAGTGCAACCCCATTCAGAACAGGAGATACCCCTGTTCCCAGGTCAGATACCACCACCCCTGCCACTAGTAGCAGCTCAGTTTTATCAGTAAGGACGGGAATGATTGCTGAATGACTGCAGCCTGAATGTTTAAATTTGATTATGTTTCTCTGATATTGAGGTTTGCGGATCTTTCTCACCTGTTGCTGCATCTTGATTGTCAGGTTACAGCATCTATGAATTATTTTGTTCATGCAAACATTCATAGTTTATGGTTTTGAACATGGAGACATAATTGTTGTTATAAGAGTCCAGTAGTATATAGGAGCTGTGGTGGCTCAAGTGGTTAAGACGCTGAACTGCAGGCTGTGGAAGGTCGGTAGTTCAGCAGTTCAAGACCCAGGTGCTGCATGACGGAGTGAGCTCCCGTCTCTAGTTCCAGCTCCTGCCAACCTAGCAGTTCGAAAGCAAGAAATTGCAAGTAGATAAATAGGTACCACTTCAGTGGGAAGGTAACAGCGTTCCGTGCACCTTGGTGTTTAGTCATGCCGGCCACATGACCACGGAAATGTCTTCGGACAGTGCTGGCTCTTCGGCTTTGAAACGGAGATGAGCACCGCAACCCTAGAGTCGGACTCGACTGGCTTTCAAGCAAGGGAACCTTTACCTTTACCTAGCATCTTAAAGACTAATTAATTCATCAGTTTATCAATTGCAACTGATAACAAAGCTCAAGACAATGCATCCACCTGGACTGAATAAAGACCTAGGTTTCCTGTCGCATCACCAATGCTGATTTCTCCATGCCTGCTACCTCTCTGCATATTACACTTAATCCAGTCATACCTGTTACTGTCGTTTGCTTGCTAATGTCATTTGGCATCTGAAATCACTCCACTTTCCAAAGTGTAGGACAGATGGACTGACATTCTATCTGTAGCTGAAGAAGTGAGCAGGGACTTACGAAAGCTCATACCCTAGTATGAGTCTTTAAGGTGCTACTGGATTGTTACTCTTTTCTACTGCTACAGTCAGACTAACGTGGCTACCTATCTTGTTGTTGTAAGGTTCTCTAAAGAATGTTTCTGGTTCACAATGTGATGGAAGTAAATGCTGTTTCAGTCATCTGGACTGCCTTGTCTATATGCTTGGGGAGCAGATGTGATGGGTCTCGGTTTATTTCTGGAAGTTTATAATAAAGTTTTAAGACACTAGGGTCTTAGGGGGGGAGAAAATTAGAAAAATCAAAAGGAATATGTATATGGTAGATGAAGTCAGTGCTTGTTACAAAGTAAAACTGGATAGCTGACTTATTAAGTTATTACCGTTGTGCCTGGCCAGTCACACCTGTGCATATTAATGAGTGCACCTGCGAAATATATCTACTAAGATAAACATGAAAGACATGGATATGCTGATTGTAATATATAAACAGCCTGTACTTGGAGAAAGATGGGGTGGATATGTCCAGAACAAGACATGATCTTTGTTTAGGTACTAACTGAATGTATGACTGCCTTCCTATGTGAATTAGCTATTTTTGTATGTGAACACATGGCTATAAGACTACAGCCTTCCTTGGTCATTTTAGGAAAGAAGCTTGATATTTCTTTCCTCTTTATTTGCAAATAAAGCTAACAATTCCTTCCAAGATTGATCACCTCTGTGGGTATTAATTGGGGTTACATGTGGGGGATCCCTATTGGTCTAACAGATGTCAATTAAACATCCCCCAAACATCTTTCAAACAGATCATTTTGAACAGTGTGGATTCTTGTCTAGCTAGAGCATTAGGGATTGAGGTAGGTGACCTAGGTTCAGATCCCTGTTCTCACAAATACTGAACATGAGTGGAGGAGGGTCTTGTCAAGTTTCTGATTTTGGACCGTACAGTACAATATTGTGCTTTGCTTCTTTAAGGTAGGGTAGGATACAAATGTAAAATACAGTTTTATCCCATAAAATGATTCAACTATTATGCTACTGTTGGAATTCCTTCTAGTACTCTGCAAGCCTTATTAAATGAACTTCCAGTCCATCTTCTCCGTTTCTAATTTCTTCATTATCTATTTCCTTCTGTCCTGTTATGTAGTTATTACACTACTGAACCCTTGTCCAATTCTAGATTTTTTTTATAATTATGTTACTTTCCCCCCTTCTAAATAGGTTTGATAGGATGTTGATGTCACTAGTGTGTCAGTACTACATAATAACTAAAGTACAAGCGTGGTACACTTACACTAATTTTTTTCTCTTTACAGAAACTCAGAAACAGATGGCAGGGAACTGCAAGTTTTTGAGAACGATGATGGTTTATATTTCAATAAAAATGCAGCCTATGTACAAAAGCTACCCTTAGAGAACAATGGAAATTTGGTTTGTCCCGATCTGGAATATTTTGAAAGTGAAAATAGTTCACTTATTTTGCAGTGGTCCAAGGTAATGTGTGTTTCTCTGGTAATTAAAACTTTGGATATTGTTTTCTATACAGGCTAACAGCAACAATTAAAAGCAATAATGGATTAGTGCCAAAAGTGTTGGTAAACCTGCTGTTCTTGAGTTTTGCCTATATTATAAAAACAAACTTTCAAAGTATTTCACCCTGAAGGAATGTGGTTACTTTTAAATGTGCACGTGTGCATCCACGTATACATACAAAACAGGGAGAAGGCGTCTTCAGGGAATAAGGATAGGGTCCCATTACTATAAATCAAATGTCATTGCCACCATTTGAACACAGACAAATGTGCAAACAATTGTAGTCATAGATGAAGATGGGTAGCCATGCTGGTCTATAGCAGTAGAAAAGAGCAAGAGTCCAGTAGCACCTTAAAGACTAACAAATTATGTGGCAGGGTATGAGTTTTCATGAATCACTGCCTCACTTCTTCAGATACCACACAAGGTTGATGGATTTCCATTCTGTACGGCTAAATGTGGTTGCCTTTCATGGAGGCAGATAAAGATGGGTAGCATATTAGTCTGTCTGTAGCAGTAGAAAAGAGTAAGAGTCCAGTAGCACCTTAAAGACTAACAAAATATGTGGCAGGGTATGAGCTTTGATGAGCCACTGTTCTCTTCTTCAGATACTTCTTCAGTGAGCAGTGACTCACGGAAGCTCATACCCTGCCACAAATTGTGTTACTCTTTAAGGTGCTACTGGACTCTTGCTCTTTTGTACTGCTACAGATGAACTAACATGGCTACCCATCTTGATCTGTCTCCATGGAAGGCACCACATTTAGCCGTACAGAATGGAAATCCATCAATTGTAGTCATGGTCAAAATACCTGAAAGACTGCCTACTCCCGTATGAACCTACCCAACCTCTAAGTTCATTTTGTGAGGCTATGTTTTGGATGCCTATGCCTTCTGAGGTTAGGTGGCTGGCAGCCAGAGAGAAGGCCTTCTCAGACTATTCACCAGAATAATGGAACTCTGTCCTCAGGATGGACTGGCCATTTAATTTAAAGGAAGTTCCTTGTGGACCACTGCCCTGTCAGACCACTGGTTGCTAGAACCAAGCATAACCAAGCTCTAGGAACTCTCCCTTCATCGACAGTGGTAGTTGGTGTCAGCTCACCAGTTGTCTTTCCCCATACTGCTGCCAATTTTCGCACTACTGAGCTGAATGGTCCCAACAGCACTGGCTTGTAGCACCAAAGGGACCACTCAACTTTGCTTGCCCCCGAGCCACTTTCACTTTCCAGTCTGCTCCTGCTGTGTTTCCCCAGGGATATCTTTCTGTTCCCTTCTTTCAGTGTCGACTGTCAGCAGGTGAAGACTTTTTATTGTTTGTGTGGCATTCGCACAGTGCTCCCTTTTTCTTGCCCAATGTTTTTAATTACATTTTCATGTGCTTTTAATGTGTATGTTAGTTTTGGTTTTAGTTATTTTTATGACTTGTTTATTGGATATGTTTTTGTAATGTTTTGTTTTAACTATTTAAACTATTCTTTAAAAATTATGTTATTATACAATTACAGACAATTTAGAGAGAAAACAAATTTGCATCAACAGGATACCAAAAATCAAAATAACACATTAAATAGATTAAAAGATTAAACTGGGGATAATAACCGATAATGAATATATTGGTAGGTAGTAATCTAATAACCTCAGCATAGGAGCATAAAAGTCAGCAATAAGGACGTAAACTTCCAAGTACTAAAACATTATAATTATGTTAGAAAGTTAGCATTTTTTGATATTCAGCATTACTAGGAATGATTTCACGTGAAGCAAATTATGTCAAGACTGGGAACCAGATTTCTTTTGTTTTAACTCTTAACCATCTTGGTAGCCCTGATTGGGCAGAAAGGTGGCACACAAGTTTTGTAGATTTTTTTTTTTTTAAACACCCAATCATGACCAAAATATATTGCAAATAATACACATAGCAATCGCAGTTTCCACTAAATTTTTGGTGTCATTAGTAGCCATACGGAAAAACTACTAAAAATCAGTCCATTAGTTCTTCATATGCAATAATGTATACAAAATTTGGCGAAAACATTTGAACTGAAACAAAAATAATGGATAAAATGTAATACCGAGACCCGGGTTGCCGCATGACAGAATGAGCTCCCGTCTCTAGTTCCAGCTCCTGCCAACCTAGCAGTTCGAAAGCAAGAAATTGCAAGTAAATAAATAGGTACCACTTCGGTGGGAAGGTAACAGCGTTCCGTGCGCCTTGGTGTTTAGTCATGCTGGCCACGTGACCACAGAAAAGTCTTTGGACAGCGCTGGTTCTTCGGCTTTGAAACAGAGATGAGCACCGCAACCCTAGAGTCGGATTCGACTGGCTTTCGAGCAAGGGAACCTTTACCTTTACCTTTTTAATCTAATAAAACTCAACAATAAGGACATAAACTTCCAAGTACTAAAACATTATAATTGTGTCAGAAAGTTAGCATTTTTTGATATTCAGTATTACTAGGAATTATTTCACATGAAGCAAATTATGTCAAGACTGGGAACCAGATTTCTTTTGTTTTAACTCTTAACCATCTTGGTAGCCCTGATTAGGCAGAAAGGTGGCACACAAGTTTTGTAGATTAAAAAAAAAAACCCCGATCATGACCAAAATATAGTGCAAATAAAAAATATATTGCAAATAATACACATAGCAATCGCAGTTTCCACTAAATTTTTGGTGTCATTAGTAGCCATACGGAAAAACTACTAAAAATCAGTCCATTAGTTCTTCATATGCAATAATGTATACAAAATTTGGCGAAAACATTTGAACTGAAACAAAAATAATGGATAAAATGTAATACTGGCAACTTTAAAACATTATATCAAAGGATTGTTTCATATTTGTTCTTATGTATTTTATCTGCGGTGCTGATCTTTTAGAATGTTTTTTTTAATTGTAAAGAATAAACTGTTTCATTCCCCAATAAAAGATTCTTCTCTACCAGGCACTACTTCTTGCCTGGATGTTAAAAATCACTTAGGAAAAGAACTAGTATAGTAGTTACCTATTGAATTTTACACTGTCAATTTATATTATGCACTTCCTCCAAAAGCAGGAAAAACCTGTTCTACAATTTTTTTAAAAAAATTGTCAAAGTATAGCCCCTGGCCTGCAAAGCAGGAGGAGGTCCTCACTGAGGAGGAGGAGGCGACTGCCTGCCCCCCCGGCTTCTCCCTCCCCCTCGGCTAGCAGCAACTGCAGCAAGCCCTATGTGGCTCCCAGCTGCCCGCCCACCACGGCTTCTCCCCCCCCCAGCAACAGTGGCAAGCCCTGCTCAGATCCCAGCTGCCCACCAGCCAAGGCTCCCCCGGCTCCCTTACAGCTGCCAGCAGCAAGCTCCGCCACAGTTCCAAATGGCAAGTCCATTCTCCACACATGCGCGAGAACACAGTTTCAGATTTGCGGGGATTTAAGTTTCCCCGTATATATATTTTTAAACATGTCAGATTTTTCTGCATACCTAAGTAATGCCTCAAGTGTGCAGGAATTTTTGTTGAGCCTCCATGTGCCCCCAGTTTACGGAAATAAGATTCCGCATGCACTGGGGACCATTGGCTATTAGTATGTAGATAGGGAAAATTATAATTTACTCAGAGAATCAGTTCAGATAGGAAACTTTTTAACAGCAGTGTATGCACCTTCCTCTCTTCACATGTTGTACCAAGACAGAAGTCTGTTTAATCAGTCGGATTCCAACTAATCCAAATCTGACCACCTAGCTGGGATTTATTTCTTTTCCAGTAATTGGGGTTCTTAACCACTTCTATCTTCAGCCCTGGTGTGCCATGCTAATGGGAGAGAGAAGCTAACTAAGTGTATGCTTGTCATGAACCAACAGATTTTTGCCCCCACGTGCCTCAATTAGACCAAAGATAGACAGATCCAAAAATGTTATATATTTGGGGTTCCACAAGTTTCCATAGGTAAAGTAGGAAACCTCTGTGAGAATACAAGTCCAAATTGTCAGCAATGTTGGTTGTTATTCTTGGGCAATAAGCCCCGCACTGTATGACAGTAAAATTCTTACTTGGTTCTGCCCACCAGGGTGAAAATCAATTCTGCCCATTATGTATCACTTCTTTCTTGTGTAATCTCTGTGTAGGAATTGAGTTTGTTAATAATACGAATAATAATTATGTTTCAGGCATACAGTCCTGGATTATTTGAAGATCAGAGATTTCGAGCTTTAGAATACATCCTTTCGATTAACAATGTGAATGAGAGTGATAAAGGTATCTATGTGTGCCAAACAACATATACCTACATGGGAAAATGGTATAATGTTTCACGAGCCATTAATCTGATCACTTACGGTATGTGTTTTGTTTATACAGTTTATATTTGGCTTGGGGGGGGGGTTAGTAGTTGATCCTGGAGATAGTGTTGGTATGACTATCAGACTAAGACCTGGGAGACCAGTTTCATATCCCCACATTGCCATGAAGTTCCCGGGGTGACCGTGGCCCAGTCACTCTCTCAGCCTCATGGGGGTGTTGTGAGGACAAAATGGAGGAGGTTAGAATGATATCTACCACTCTGAGCTCTTTGGAGAAAGGGTAGGATAAAAATAAATTTAACACCTGTTAAGCTGATCTTTCTGCTGCTCCCTTCCCTATGAGGTAATTGTTATCCCCATGTGGAACATTTGCTTTTTCTGAGCATGTTGAATTCAGTATTTTAAAATTCCGTCTCTCCCCCAGGACATTTGTGGCCTGAAACTGGGTCCAGATCCTGGTTTAAGGGGAAGACTGAGTTTTTCCTAGCCACAATATCATTGCCAGTACAACAGTAAGGCCCAGTATGAAGAATTTGTGCCCTGCACGAGAGATAGATGAGTGAATGTGTGTATGGTCACACATCTTATGTCTGTTGTTCATCCATTGTTGTCTAGACCTTAGGTGTCGAACTCATTTGTTATGAGGGCCGGATCTGACGTAAAAATCACTTTGTCAGGCCGGGCCATGCGTGCCATAAAACAATAATGCCAGGTACCAGAGATAGAAACTGTATAAAGGACAGCAGCTTGTAAGCTCCAAGTTGGTGTATCCTCACTACAAGGCCCATGGGCTGGGAAGGGGGGTGCAAAGGAAAATCCACATAGGTGGACTGGAGAGCCAGTGGTGCAGCACTGGGCAGATGCTCCCATGATGCTTGACTGCTGCAGATGAGGTTGTTCTTCCGTGCTGAAGCCATAATCGGAGTGGCTCCACCCACTCCCCCCCAAGCAGTTTTCTGTTCCCTCACTTTCACTAGTTGCTCGCGGGCTGCATAAGAGCCCTGGATGGGCCGGTTCTGTCCCCTGTGCCTTATGTTGGACACCCATGGTCTAGACTGTAGTGTTGTATTTGCACTTGCCAAAAGTACTTGCACTGTGGAAAAGCTTTGCTTTTTTGAGATCCTTAATGGGTTAACTTTTTTCTTCCATGCTTTAGTGAGTGCACAGAAATTGCAAAGACTAATGTCTAGTCCTCGTCAGTTTCTGGCTGTCCAAAATGTTCTATTTGTGTCTGGATATTGTAATTTTGAACAGTACTCCAAGCTGGTATTCTACTGTATTGTAATCATATAGTAGTAGTAGTATGCTCTGTATTTAGATAGAACAGGAGTCAAGTGGTTGCTTAACAAGTAACAACATTCATTCCATCATAATTTTATTTTATCATGAGTCAGCAGCACTCACTTCATCAGTTGCAAGTTAGTTGCTGTTTATCAGTAAAGTTAACAGAATTAATTTCAAGAATTTAAAATGTACCAGTACAATAGACTATGGAATAATGCCTTCTTGTGTTTTCCTTTGCTAGCCTCTCCACTGAAATTACCACAAATTATTTATCCCAAAAACAATTCAATTGAAGTAGAACTTGGTAAGCCGTTTTCTTAATAGCTCAGACATTTTTTGCAAAGTGCTATGTAAGTTTTCCAAACTTTCTATATACTCACCTGCAATATTGTCTTCTTGTTGGTAGGATCAAAAGTTCTCATAGAGTGTAATGCTTCTGGAGACACACAAGAGATATTTACAGCCTGGGAGGTCAATGGAACAGAACTTGAAGAGTTTGATGACACACTGAGAGTGGAAACGTATTCGTGAGTACGAGAATTGAATTTCCATTGGTCTTTGGCATAGAATATTTTTAGGGTGTTTTGGATTAAATCTGCTCAATCACTGTTAACAACATTCGAATCACCTTTAGCATCCACCTAGATAGACCCCTGGAAAAACATTCCTGCCTGTTAGAGTGACTTTATTAACTTGACTTTTCTTTGGAAGCAACTGAATCTTTAGTTGTTGTAGATTTTCTGGGCTGTATGGCCGTGGTCTTGGCATTGTAGTACCTGACGTTTCTTTCTGTATTATACCTCTGAGGATGCCAGTCACAGCTGCTGGCAAAACGTCAGGTACTACAATGTACCTGGAAAATCTACAACAACTAATGAACTCTGGCCTTGAAAGCCTTCAACAACAACTGAATCTTTATCAACTGAATATTAGGATGCATGGATCACTCATAGAAGTGATATTGAAGCCTCTCTACAGAAAGAAATGAGTTGAAGTTTGTTTCCCCCTAAACATTCCCTATCTTCATTGATTTAAATGTTCAGCTTTCTAGATACCTTCCTTTTCCAAAATTCAGGAACTTGGCAGCACTCAGTGGAGGATGGACAATAGATTCGGGATGGACAAAAGAAATTCACTGTCAATGAATGTGGCGGTGGCCATGAGCATAGGTGGGTTTAAAAGGTGATTGGACAGATTCATGGAGAGAGATCCATCAATAGCTGGTAGCCTTGATGACTAAAGAGAACCTCCACGTTCAGAGGCAGTAAACCTCTGAATACCAGTGATAGGAGACAACATCAGGGAAAAGCCTTGGCCTCTCTGCCTTCTTGGCTCTTGAGAACAATTGTTTGGCCGATGTGTGGAACAGCATGCTGGACTAGATGAACCATTGGTCTGATCCAGCAGAGCTCTTCCAGCGTTCTTATGTACAGTTTCCTGTAATTTCACATGAATATAACTTCTTATATCTCTCTTGATTTTATTTTTTAACTTTAGTCATGTATCTCTTTCTGGAAAATGGATAGTGGGAACAAAATTCAATATCTCTGTAGTGAAAAACAAAGACTACTTGACATTTCTGTGTTTTGTATGGACTCCTACGTTTGAAGGAGCGGCTGTGTATATCATGCTACAACGTCCAAGTAAGTATCTATTTAGTTTTTTGGCCCATTAGTAATGACAAGATGATTTTCAGAGTCCATCATGGATAACACATAATTGCAGTCACATATGTAACTAGCATAGCATGCTAAGAGATAAGCAGCTGAGGAGTTTTATGTAACCTTTATTTTGCAAGGACCAATTAAACACTTTTGAGTTGGCAACAGGTATGAAGGTCCCTATTCCCCTGGGATTGTTGCAAGCATCTTTTCCGGTGGATTTGCATTTAAAGTCTGTTGAGTTAGATCTTGCAGTCACCTGAGTAATATGGCATTGATATTCTCATAATGAATCAGTTTGGCCTTGGAAATTTGCTTATATACCTGGGAAGTTGCAGTCCATTTGGCAAGGAATTTGAGTCAGCCCTGTTTACCTTTTGCTCTACAGTTTGTATCTGCTCTTGTGCCACTGAGCCCTCATCCAGCATGTCTTAAACAGAACAGAGAGCTTCTGTTTGCAATATTTTCATGCTGTTGACATTATCACATAGTATTGTAGTAGTGGCAACAGGCAACCACCTCTGAACATCTCTTGCCTTGAAAACCCTACAGGGTTGCCATAAGTTGGTGGCGACTTGATGGCACTTTCACCCATCATCAGTACTTTGACAGAGAAGAAGCTGAGTTGTAGCGGGGATTAGGGATGGGCACAAACATCATCACAAACCTAATTTCATGACGAACATCACTGGTTTATGCCAATCCCTATCTACAACCCCTCCTCATGGGGTTTGTGTTGGGAAGCGGGGGGGGGGGAGCAAGAGGGATTGCTAAAATGGATGCAAGCCATTTCAGTGATCTCTTTTGCTCCCCTCCCCCCGCTTCCAAACATTCCCTTTAAATGGTTTTAGCAAGATCTTTCCCCCCTTCCATTCAGCAGAAAAGAGGTAGGAAAGATCTCAGATCTTCCCCAGAACCTCGTGAACCAAACTGTTTCGGTAAATGGAGAGGTTTGTGTGACTGCACAGACCGGGATAAGCCTCCATTTCCCCGGTTCATGCCCATCCCTAGCGGTGATATCTTATGTCTCTGTGTTCAGCTAGGATTTGAATTTTTACTCCCAACTGTTAACTTTTTAAACCGTGATATGGTATTATAAAAGTGTTCAACCGCCCCACTGTCTTTTTATCTTAATTTGCTTTCATTAAAAGTTAGGTCAAAAATCTACTGATTCAAGGATATTGTTTTTCAAGGTGATATTAATTAGGTTGATTGAATGAGGAACACTTATTTAGTTGAGTTCTTAGCAGTCTGGAGGGTTAGCAGTGTGGTAGTATGAAGCATCCACTGTAAAAATACATTTCGGTTACAACACCACCTTATGCCAACTTAAAAAAAACAACTAAAGCCCAATTAACAGGTCAGAAACTGTTTAAGAAGTACGAGCATCATCTCTGGGATGGAACTGCAGATTAAAATGTTCTCACTGTGGGGAGGATTTTTTCCCCCCTGGGCAGAACTGGCTGGTCCAATCTTGTCAGATCTTGGAAGCTAAGCAGGGTTGACCGTGGTTAGTATTTGGATGGGAGACCACCAAGGAATACCAACTCTGAACGTCTCTTGCCCTAAAACCCCTACAGAGTCACCATAAGTCAGCTGTGGCTTGACGGCACTTCCCACCAACCAAACTGATAAATGGGAGTGGTGTTTGCCTCCCTTTGTGTGGAGACCCACAGTCAGTGAACATGTGCTGTATTGGTGTAAATTGGTGATCCTGTTGGCTTATGGATCTGAATCCTTGGAAATAAAAATCAAAATGTGTGGAATGAGATATCATAGCCAATGATGGAAAAAGCGTTTAGCCTTACGCAGATAAGGGTAGATAGGATTTATGGTGCTATAAGCCCAAATGTAAAAAACACATGGTTCTGCCCCTTTTGATACCTGAAAAGCTGAGCACCAAGGCTTAAGGGTGAGAGGAGGGCAAGAAATCTCAGGGCTGGATCCAGGCCAAGGCTTAAGGGTGAGAGGAGGGCAAGATCCAGTAGTCAAGATAGGAGCTAGGAATCTCCACAGGAAGCAGGCAGGGTTCAGAGAGCTGGAGCATAGTAATAAGCTACTGTCCAGAGTGAGAATGTTGAAAGGAGATGTCGAACCAGCAAAGGTTGAGATTGAAGTGCAGGATTATATAGGGAACGGAGAGCCCCTCCTGTAACCAGGGCCCAGATTTTGCAAAGATCTAATGTTTGGTCCTTGATCCTGCCAATACCCAAAGAAGTTGCATCTTTCTCCTGAGAGAGACTGTAGGTGGGCAAGCCTCATGCTGCAAGCATGCACTCTTCCGCTTGTTTTCAGGCTTCGGCTTTGGCTTCTCCACCTTCTCTGGTCGTGGGGGGCAGACTCCAAAACTGCAGAAGGGAGACAGGTCCATTCAGGGGTGGGGTTAGGACTAGGGTCTGTTGGTTCCAGGGGAACTTGAATTGGGGAACTTGAAGCCGGTCAGTCCTGTAGCTTCTAGAGTACCTAAAGCTTCATGCATAGTGGGGAGCTACTCTTGATCTGAGGATTTGATTCTTCTTCCCAGATGCAGGCTGGGCTAAGGCAGGCCTTGACAGATTCATAAGTCAGATCCTCTTATACCTAATTTTCTATTGATGGATTGTTTGTGGTTTCAGCTGCTTCCATATTCAAAATTAAACTTTTCCATAAACAAACATGTGGGTTTGTGAAAGCACACTGAAGGTTTTTCTCTACCGTGGAGGTAGTTGCAGGCATATCAGGCTGATGGGAACAGGTTAACTGATGGGTGCATTACTCAATCTAAGCAAATAGCAAATGAATCATTTCATAACCAACGATCTGTCATAGGCTGCTGGCTGTAAAATGTGTGAATGGCATGGATCTGGAGGAAAAAGCAAAAAAAGAACTAACTGTGGTTGTTGTTCATTCCTTTCTGTCAGTTGAATAGCACCCAAGAATACTACTCAGAGTACTGGTTACTGAATATTTGTTTTGGCACACACTTTCTCCACATACTGGAACTGTGTCTGCCCCCTGGCTTCATGAGAGAGCTGTTTCCTTCCTTCTGTTTAAATGCTGTGTCTTCATACATTAAATATATGGCATTTTCATGCTGCCAATAGAAGTCTCAGTTATGGGGTTTTTAACTTGGCGATACAACACTATACCGTATTCATCAAACATTCCCCAATCACCCTCCCCCCCATGTCAGTGGTTTACACTAATGGAAATAAGTGCCATGAGTAAGCATTTCTCCAGTTTATGGATCCCACAGAAAGTGTCCCATAGTTTGTTTGTTTTTAAGGATCCCAAGTCCTTGTGAGCCATGGAGACTGTACAGTTCTTTTCCTGAAGGTCCTGGGTACAGTTTTGTAATTCAGGTATGTCAGGTAAAAGTACACTCAAGGATGCAGTAAGAATCTCTAGTGCGAGTTATATTATTTTCTAATATGGGATTTAAAATGTCAAACTTTAGGCTCACATGTGAGACTTTGTGACATCAGTTACAGGATATAACATTTGTGACATTCTGATGTGATACTAAAAGGGCATCATGTAGGAAATTAGTGAAAAAGTGGACCTAGGAACCTTCAGGAAAAAATTCTCTGATTCAATACTTTATGGATACCAGAGAACCTCTAGTAAACCAGGGGTTACTTTTTCCATGATTCCTAAATCATAGCAGCCTTGGAAGTGCATGTTCTTGGCTAATTGAAAATATTTTTACCACAGGGTCTGCATTTTCAGTTGATCCAATAAATGGTCCGATGGAGACAGCCATATTCAGTTGTGAAGTCTGAGTGAATGGGATTTAATTGTCACCTCTAATAGCTGTTGCAAAATAATAGCAGTGTGATGCATTTATTTGTTGATGACAATTCACAATTTTGATGCCATCCAGCTAATCTTACTTTCTTTGCCAAACAGCTAAAAATATTCAGGGTTATTTGATTGGAGGACTGGTTTCACCCATACTTGTTATCCTGGCTGCGGTTCTTACTTACAAAATTTTCAAGGTTGACATTGTGCTTTGGTATCGACAGTCCTGTCAGCCTCTATTCAGGAAAGAAGGTATGTCAGCGTCTGTAATTTCTGTGGATTCATACCCTCTAGTGGCTGAAGTAAGCAAAGCTACAATTGCTCTAATAGTATTGTGGCGACATTTCTGCCCCCCCTCATCCTGTCAGAGATGGGACTACTTTTCAAGCCCTCTAAATTACAGTTATATACTTGTGTTGAAGAACAAAAACTGTTTTTGGTATGTCCTCCTTACTCCCCTCAAATATGCGTCTTGTGGAACCTTAAAGATTTATTTACTGTGTCATAAACTTTACGTTGGAGCTCACTTTGTGCACAAAGTGTACATTGAGTGGGCAGAGAGAGAAATATTCCCAAAGCTACAAACAGCAGAAAGGCACAGTGTGGAGTGAAGAGCTATTACAAAGAGAGATCAGGAGGAGGCCAGGTTTCCCAGGTCGATGTGTGTGACCTTATATTGCAGAGTGCAGAAGAGCAGACAGTGATGGTGTAATCTTTATTGAACATATAACAGTAACAGAAGAAAAAGCAGGGAAATACCAGCCTATTGAAAGAGCAATATAAGATACTAAATTTGGGGCATTACAGGTAACTAGATGGCCTATATTTTGTAATCCACATTGAGTCTCAGTGAAAAAAGCAAGCTACAAATCAAGCAAATAAATAGAATCACACAGGCATTTGCGGGATAAATAACAACAAGCAAATCGGATGATTCCTTGTGGAAGCCATCATAACTATTCTACATGTTCCTCCCTTGGGCTAGTCCAAAATCAGAACCCACTTTCACTGTTTGTTACAAGTGTTTAGTGTCCCCAGAGAGAGCAAGAAAGCCAAAACGTAAGGGTTGAGGCTTTTCTGTCTGAGCAGCACTCAGAGTAGAGGTAGAGGTGTACCTTTGGGGAGTGAGGACGCTACAATCAGGACAAAAAGTGAAGCGTATTAAAGAAGCAGAGCAGAAAAGTATCATACACGTTGCTTGATCCCGCAATCGCAGTGCAGCTGACTAAAGTCTGAAGTAATTAGGGGATGGGTCCAGGTGAAAGGAAGGCTCGGTGATTTCAGTGGTGGAGTAGCAATTCTGGGTGTCAGATTAAACCATTTTTTTCTGCCAGGATGTTACTTTTATCGTGTTTGTTCTGGGCATTCAGTATTGGGGTCAAATTCTGTTGGTGGCATTTTTTGGATCCTTTGTCATGGAGCCAGATTTCCAGAATTCTGCCTGTGATTGGGGAATTTTTGGATGCTCTGAGATTGGAGGAATTCTAGGAACCTTGTTCCCATTGGGGAGAAGCCAGAATTCTCATTCTTGTTGACAGATTTTGAATTGTCCAAAAAAGGAGAGGAGGGAGAGGTGAATGATGGGTACTAGATGAAGCAATGGGGAAGATGGATGATTAGATCAGAAGATCTATTAACATAGGCCAGGGAATAGGCGATAGCCCTGGCTTCGCTTATGATTAGGTTTCCAGAGAAGTCTTCATTGTAAAGGGAGATTCCTTCATTGTAAAGGGATGGTTCTAGAAGGTTTCTTGATGATACCTCAGGAAGCCAAAGTGTAGAGCCATTTCCCTACCACCCTTCAGTACTCCTTTTACCCCTTGGTCATCCAAGGGTCCCACTGCAAGACTGCTTGTCCGATGTAAGTTTACCTTTGATACTGTATGCTGTGAGCCACTGAGGAAGCATTTTGGATTTAGAATTTCCATTTTGTGAAGAGTAATATATGAAGACCATGGAAGATTGAGATTTTTGACAAAGACTTGTATCGAAACGAACGGTGTTACTCAAGAGGTTCGTAATCCGCTCGTCTCCACGCCACCACTGTGTTGGGTTGGCACTGCACTGCTGGAAACAAGAATTAAAACAACATCAGAGCATCACAAGTTTAGTGCTTATGTTATTGTCATCAATTTGTATGCACGTTTGCAGCAATTTTCCATTACCCTCTCTGACATACAGAGCCACCCCACCTCCAACCCTTCCCCCCTATCCTTCCGATATAATTTATAACCAGGAATCCTCGTATCCCACTGATTTTCCTCATCTCGCCAGGTTTCTGAAATACCCACAATGTCTATTTTTCCCTCCAACACCAAGCACTCCAACTCCCCGATTTTACCTCGGACACTTCTAGCATTTGTGTATAAACACCTATAGTTTCCTATGCCTGTTAAGCCCACAACTTTCCTCTTGCTGCCTCAAGACCTTACCAGGCAGTCCATATTGTTAGCCACAGTCTCAGTGAACAATTCTAATCCATTTCCTTGTAGAAAAGTAACAGCTAACCCTTCATCTCTTTGAGATGAGCCATCGCGAACCAGAGACTTTTCATCTCCTGTTGGCTTTCCCCCAATATTCAGTTTAAAAACTGCTCTGCCACCTTTTTGATTTTAAGCACGAGCAGCCTGGTTCCTTCTCAGGACAAGTGGAGACCGTCTCTTTTGTACAGCTCCCTCTTGTTCCAAAAAGCATCCCAGTGCCTAACAAACTTGAACCCTTCCCCCCTACACCATTGTCTCATCCACACATTGAGACTCCTGATCTGTGCCTGTCTCTCCGGCCCTGCCCATGGAACAGGTAGAACTTCTGAGAAGGCTACCATAGAGGTCCTGGCCTTAGAGGTCCTGGCCTTGATTTTGTTTGGTGTCATTAAAGTCTCAGAAAATATATTGTTAATTAGATTTTAAATAATTTTTAATCATCTTATCTGGTATACTGTAAACTTTGAATTTTTAATTGTAAAGTTGTGTAGATGATTGGTCAAATGATCGTAATAAAGAACAAACGAGCTCATTACCGGGTTTTAGCAGTTGCTGCCACTAACCCTTTGAAGGATCTTTTTGAACTCAGGGAAATTTGACAAAGTTACTTGGAATGGGTGGTTGTTCAGCAGCTTAGCGATAACTGGACAGAAGAAGAGTGATTCATGGGTAGATTTACAGGAATGTTTATCTCTTGATAAGCACTTGAGAATATTGTTTGTGTCCAATTTCAGCTCATACTAAAGGGCCGATTCACACATGTTCACATCGCTTGATTTCTCCCTAGATGACTCTTGGCTGAATGTGTCTGTTGTCTTGGGGAAAAAGTAATTGCATTGCCATTGGGGGCACGGAAATTTTTCTTATTTGCTCTTTAATGGGTGTCGGCTACATTGTAAGTTGTCACTTGACGCTACACTCAAAAGATGGTAAATATCCATGTGTGAAACAACCTTGACAAGAAAGAATCTTTTGTACTGATCAGATTACTACTTCTGTCTAGTTTCAGATGGAAAGCTTTATGATGCATATGTGGTGTACCCCTCAAATGTAGCAAACTGCATGTATTCATCTGATATCTTTGTCCTGAAAGTGCTACCTGAAGTTTTGGAAAAACAGTGTGGATATAATCTCTTTATATGTGGCAGGGATGATTTACCAGGGCAAGGTATGTACTATAAATACATACATTTACATTTAGTAGAATATTTGGCAAGTTGTTAAAGAGAAGCAGCATTGGGGGGGGGGGCTGTTCTGGAATGGTGCCATGATGTGTGTGTATGGGGGGAGGGGCTTAGCCCTGCATGGCTTTGCCAGTATGTTTTTTACCTCCCTTCTGGTGTGGTTAACACAAACTAAGGGAAGTAAAACAAAAATAGGATCCCTGTCTTGATCTCTATCACCTCTACTGAGCTGCTTAATGACCTTTGAGGGCAGGGTAAATTAGTCTCACTTGCAAGAGGAGATGAGTCAAACCACCTCTCCCCTCATTGTGGCCCAGTTAATTGCCCCCCCCTTCCCCAGCCACACATGCAGCTGCTTTTGCCCTTTTGTTGGGTCTCCCAACATCATGTCAAGCCTAACTATGTGGAGTTGAACATACGTTCTGTACATGTTACTTTTTGCTTTATCTTCCTGTGTTTGCTCCTCTCCCTGTGCTGAGTTTTAGTTTCAAGTTCCCTTGGGTGGTTCTCTGTCATCTTGTGTTTTCTCCAGTAGAAGTGGTGCCCCCAGCAAAGTCAGATGCACTGATTTTGGACTCAGCAGCCCATGGGCTTCAAAAACTTGACTGGGTGGGGCGTTTGGGTTTTCAGAAGCAGAACACCATTTTCTTTCAGTCTTTTCAGGCTGTCCAGTGTTATTCGCCAAGTGAAATTCCTCAAGGAGTGTCACTGGCCAGTTGTAACAGCAGCACAGGATGTCCTGTTTTTCACCAGGCAGACATCCAGTGGAAAATTAATCATGTCTCATCCTCTTCTTGAATTGGCCAAGGGAGAAGTGTTATACCTTCTTTAGGGAGGTAGAGAAAATGAAGGCTGGCTGTAAAATGGCTAGTAGTTCATTGCTGAATTAGACATTTTCTATGCAGAACAATCACAATACTGAAATCTATTAAAAAGTTGGTCGTAAACACCTCAGAGACATTTTCTATGCAGAACAATCACAATAGTGAAATCTATTAAAAAGAGATAACACTTTGTTTTTCATGTATGCTACCTTTCCTTGTTTCCACAGCTGTGATCACTGTTGTCGATGAAGCTATCAGACTAAGTAGAAGAGTGATCATTGTGTTAGTACCAGATTCATATTCCAACAAAGTGCAGAGAGATACCAATGAACAACAAATAGCTATCTACAATGCTCTTATTCGGGATGACATTAAAGTTATATTGATTTTGCTGGACAAAATAAAAGACTATGCCAACATGCCGGAACCTATAAAATATCTGAAACAAAGACATGGGGTACTCATATGGAAAGGAGATTTTTCAGAGCAATCTCAGCTAGCAACTACAAAGTTCTGGAAAAATGTGCGGTATCGAATGCCAGTTAGACATAGTCCACCTTCCTTGGACCATCAGTTGATGCCAGTGACTCTTACAGCTACTTGGATATCAGAAGGATGACAAGGTTACAGCTGAATTGTATTGTTTACCTATGTCTTTTCTTATGAATGGTGCCAAGGTGCTTATGGGTGTGCTGTATGGCTATGCATATGGCATCTTTGAGGTTGGAATCATGCCCAGAAATGTACATTTGTAAGCACTTAAAGAGATCCAGCTACAATAGTCTGTGTTTAGCCATGCACCTGAAGTTTTGGACCTACCATGGGAATTATCATGTGGATGATTAAGAGGAAAAAGGAAACAGCCGCTACTTTATATAAGAGAATTACTCTACAGTTAAAAGAAAGAAATATGAAGGAACCTTTTCAGGTTATGCACATCTTTAAATGTTTTAACCAAAAACCAAGAGTTTGAATAAAACAGCTGCTGTTTGTAGCTGCTTCACTCTTCATGGCCTTGTTTGTTCATCCTTTAAAACTACAGCTCTATATACTGTGCATATTACTCTAGTATCTCCCAAGGAGAAATAGAACACTGTAACTCGTTATCCAGGTAGATTGCCTTGCCAAAATGTGAATGCAAAAGCAAAGAATGCTTGGTTCATATTTTTATGAAATGTTAAATTTTTTAATCCTGACATAAATTATGAGATTGATTTTGATGTTAATTGGGTAGTAGGGTGGGATTTTTTAAAAAGCTTAAGACATCTGCACAGCATTCAAATAGTTAAACATGTAATTCAGTTACGGGCACTTTGCAATGCTATGGGCACTTTGCAATGAGCAGTAGCTGTACTTAAACATAAATGCCTTATTTTTATGGCAGAGGTTTGCAATAAACTCTTAAGAATGTTATAATTTTTATAATTATATGATTGCTATGAATAGCATAATAAAGCCGTTCCTAATAATTCTTGCATTGTCGTGGTTTAAATTAAGGGCGGGAAGATGCTGGATATTAGGGAAAACTTTTTTTACAGTAGGAGTTGTGCAACAGTGGAATCAGCTGCCTAGGGAGGTGGTGAGCTCCTCCTCACTGGCAGTCGTTAAGCAGCAGCTGGACAAGCATGGCAAATCCTGCATTGGGCAGGGGGTTGGACTAGATGGCCTGTGTGGCCCCTTCCAGCTCTGTGAGTCTATGATTCTATGGTCAGTATTGTCTCCTGACTGGCAGCAGCTCCTCCAGATCTCAGGTGGAAGACTTTCATGGATTCAGTAGCATAGCCATGGCCCCGTTCACACGGGGAAGTAGCTGCGGGAGAGCCACGGGTGGTGGGCGGATTATTCGGGCGCGATCACACCACCACATCTGGCAAGTGGAGCGCACCCGTGGCCAACCCGTGGCTTCCCAGGGAAAACCCGGAGTTAAAAACTACCTGCTTAGATGTACTATCTTCCGGTAAATGCACGGCACGGGCGGGCATCTGATCGGAGACGTGCTGGTAGCCCGTCGCATCCAGCGGTGTCCGCGTCAGGCACATGTGCACATGTCCTACAGTTTTCCTGCTGTGTTGCCTCGCTGGTCTGATCGGCTGCTGACAGCCGGAGGACGGAGCCGCGGGGGAACATGAGATCGCGCTACCGCTCTTTTTTTCCTCTGCAGCTAAAAGCCTCTGTTCCCCTGCGGATTATCCAGCTCGTGTGATCGGGGTCCATGTTGGTCTGAAGCAGCAAAACAAAGATACAGATCTGAAGGAGCGTGTGTGGACATGAATGCGTATACCCAGAATAAAACTTTATGGGTCTTAAAGGTGCCACTGGACTCATGTTTATTCATAGTAACTGAGCTAGCCATGACCAAGGTGAATAGTGCTCTCAAACAATCTGCATTGAGCCGAAAGGAAAACTTGGGTAGACAAAACCTAAGCAGGTCATGTTTGAGTCACTTGGGGGTTCAGTAACTTCTCTCTAACTTTGTAAAATCAGAGATTATTTTAAACAATGCTGGGAATTCTGAATAGGGAAGCAAATCCTGCTTTATACAAAGAACACCATGAAATGCTTGGGAATCTAACTGCTAAAAAGAAAGTAGCTAATAAATGATGCTATTCTAATTTTCTAGCATTAAAAGACGATGTCTGAGAGCTGAAAGGTTGCTAGAAGGACTGAATAAGTATATCATCGAGGAAAGAAAATGCATTTATGCTGCATCCATGCAGTAAGGATACTCTTGTTGCTGCTGTGAATGCAGAGGCATTTTCTGTGCACTTTCCTCCATCAGCTACCATTTCCCCTGCGTTTTTCCCTGCCTTGCCACTGGAGGACTTCATATAACACTGGAAATTGCTGTGGCCCTATAATGTTACCGTGCGGATTTTTAGAAGCCCTCAAAAAGCCTTCCGGTACAGAGGGGGATATGACAGCTGCGAGGGACTGCAGGAGGAAAATGGTGCCAGTGTGGGTAGGACTTTAGACGACATGCACCTTCCTGTTCAGATGGTGTGCTAACTTGCTTGGACTGTATTCTTTCTGGAAAGATTGTAGCCATGCAGGCTTTAGAAAGTATACACTGAGGACAGGAAGAACCTGGAAAGTGGACTGTTTGAGGAGGTTGTGTGGGATGCTCTAAAACAACAGAAACCATACTTCTTCCATTAATGGAGCAACAGGCTGAATCTCTCTCCCCCCTCCGTGTATGTGTGTAGGAGATTCTTGGTTGGTTTCTATATTTTAATTGTTTGTTTTATAGCCCGACCTCCTCTGGAAGCAGGCTTAGGGTGGGTAACAACAGTAACAATAACATTTAAAACATTCAAAACAATAAATATAAACATTAAGAACAATGTCTAATATCAATATCAGATGGCAGCCAAAACATTGGAACAAGTTAATACACCCCAGGTTTTTCATCGAGTGCAACAATAGATGTTAAAATAATGTAGGCCCATTCTACATCTAGCATTCGCTCTGCTGTTTTACCAAACCCACACCGGAACAGAAAAAGATGTGGTTCAAAACCACATTCAAATGCCCCAGGCCAACGCTGTACTGACCAACGCTGTACTGACCAACGGCCATAAAATGGCCATAAATCTATGCAGACAGTACCATAAAAAAGAGAGATCAAAGGAAGTGAAACCAGCATGCAGTGTGGAGGCTACCATAAAATTCAGCAAAGAAAATGAAACTGGCATGTGCTGCCCCTGGTAGAGATTAGGTTAGTAAAGCATAGCAAGTTTACTGTATCTTTAAATATATAACAAATTGTGGGTAATGTAGTTTTAGTAACCTTAAAGTCAGCTGGTTAGGAGTAGCCTTCCTGATTGGTTTTATACAGCCTCCTCTTCCTTTGATACATTTGCCCCGGGGAAAACTGTCTTCTTCTTCTCAGTTTGTTTGTAATCTTCTTAGTTAAGCAGACGGGAGAGATTCAGCTCCTTTTACCGCATGAATCACTCAAAAGACTCCAAACTTTACGCCTCCTATCAGCACCAAGAAAGTGGATGTGAGTAAACTAACCTTTGGATGCTTAAAGAGTTGAATAAAGTTGGTTCTAAATGAGTGAAGACTGTGTGTTAAATACTTAGCGGTCCCTGCTGCCAGCTCCGCAGCTGCCAGGAACTGTACATGGCATGCAATGTAGAGAGGAATTTCTGTTCCAATGTGGGTTTGGTAAAACAGCAGAGCGAATGCTAGATGCAGAATGGGCCACAGAGGAACAGGCCAAACTGACAAAATGGACATTTGTGGTACTTCAGTAGCCAACACAAAATAAGTGGCTTATTACACAGCTGACTTGGTTGCATAGGTTGGACACTGTTTGCATAATGAGCAAATTAGGCTACCCAGATTTGAGACTGGGAAATGGCAAGTTACAACGGAGAAGTTTGCAGTTCCATCTGTAATATTGGCAGTATTTGTAGTTTGATCTTGGATACAACTGTTTATGAGTATTGCACATATTTCCATTTTGCCCGTGATTTCTATATTATTCAAAAAGTACAGAAAGAAAGGAAACCAACATTCGAGGGTGCTGGTAGGCAGTCCCACCCCTAACTCTAGATGTGGCCCAAGATAGGAAACTAGTTCTTAGAACGACAAAAAAAATGTGAACCGCCCAGAGACCCCTTCGGGGGTTAGGGCGGTATATCAAGCCTAAAGTAATAAATAAAATAAATAATAAATCTCTATTCTTGTATCAAGTTTCTCATCTACTCCAGCCCTGATGTCAAACATTGCTGAATGCATTATTTGGAGTTGGTGATTTCCACCACAAATGGGTGGCATGTAGCCTATGGCAAACATAATGGCTAAGTCAGGCCTGAGTAGAAAGTGTATTAGGATTTGATAGAAGTTCAGTTTGGCAAGTATGAATCATTTATACTTTAGGTCTTCCGCATCTGACTACATTCCATTTCAGTTTAGTTTTTTCTTTAGCTTCCTCCTACATAATCTCCAAGTGTAGTTTCCGCCCTACCACTCCCTGGCAACTCTTCCCAGGCTCTCCTTTAGATGTGATCAGTTGAGACTGAAAACACCCGCCTTGACTTCTCATAAACTACAGAAGGACTGGAAAATAAGTTGTGACTGCTTGGTAAGTTCCCATTATTTGTCCTCCCCTACTTCATTCTCATTCCTGCCACAGTACTGAATTCATATAAGTCTAGTTGTGGCAGCTGTTGGGTTCATTTAAGCTATGACTCAGTAAAACACAACCACCTGGACCGGGGCCCAGTGTTCTGCTGGGTACTGGTGTGGTTGTAGCACTCCTCCTGAGACTTGAGAGAGATAGGTGAAGGAATTAGAAATTCCGCACTGCTTTACGCAAGACTTTTAAAGGTCCCTTTTCTTCATTATACAATACCTTTCTGAATATTGCTTTCTCTTAGATTGCAAGAAAACCAGAATTTGAAAGTGAACAGTGAGCGATATGAAGGGATGTTTTATTTTGTATAAAGACTGTTGGTTTTTCTGTTGTTTTGTTGTACCAGGATGAGAGACTGTTCTTTTTCTGTTGTTTCCCCTGCCATGTGGCTTCTTCAGACTAGATAACTGTATTTTACTAACAAAAATATTCCCAGTACTAAAGGGGTAATTGAACCTCCCAACTTGTTTTTTTTTACCTCAAGAGGTCCATTCAGAAGTTTCAAATTGCTGATTCTGACCTAGCCATATATGTTATGTAGTATTTCCTGTATGAAGGCATACCAGCGGCTAACATTTTAACATCTCTTTTCACAAGGTCTTTTGTCTAGTTTCTTTACAAAAGAAACTTATCTTTGCTCAGATCCCAAAAGATGCTTTGAATGAAGCAGCCCCTTTCAGAATTTTGATTGAGATAATTAAATGTTAAATGTGAGATGGTTATTCCATACCACTGTAAAACCCTTGCTGACTTCCCCCTTTTTTGAAAGAAGAAACTGGCTGAACCTGTAAGAAGCTATTTCTGTAACTTCTGTCTGTCGTTTTCCACTTCTCAGGCGTAAACTTTGCGGGGGCTGGGAAGCTCACCCCTTCCCCGAAATTTTCCAGGGGTTACTGAGCCTCCCCCGGGGGCTGGGCAACCAGAGCTTTGCTAACCCCCCACGTCCCCCACCCCATTTTGAAAGCGGAGGGGTTTTCCCCTCCGCTTTCTGACACTGAATTTGGCTGGTTTGGGACTGGGAGAGAAGTCAGAGCGGGGGCTTGCTTCCTCCTGGAAGCTAAGCCCCACCACAGCTCCCAGGAGTCCTCAGTTCAGCCTGGAGGAGCTGGAGGGCTGCACATGGAGACGGGATTCACTGCTTTCCCGCGCAGCGCGCGCACCAGGCAAGGTAAGGAAGCGTGCTTGCCCAGGAAAGCTAAGCCTCAATTCCTTCTCTGTTTCCTGTGGCTCTTTTAATTCCCTATATTAGCGAGAGAGAAAAACCACCCTTTTTACGATTGACGATTTGGCTGCCACTTTCTTCCAGTCTTTCTCCCCCCGCTTTTTCTTTACAAATGTAAGCTACCATGTGCTTTTCAAGTTTCGCGTTTCTGAGAAGGGAGCTTGCCTAGGGCACGGGTAAAGTTTCTGGTAGAAACTGAGGGAGATTTTTTTTTTTTAAAGCCTGAGCGCTGTTAACTTAATGTAACCGTTTCTTTCCGCAGCAGCTGGCTCCTCAATGTTTTGGTTAGCAACCTGCTGTAGCTTGGATTAGTGGTAGCCTTGAATAAAGGTCTTTTTAAAACACACCGAAGCAATTTCTTCTCACACACTTTACTCCCCCCCCAACTTCTTTTTTCCAACTTATCCCACATTATGATTAGATTTTTTTTAAAAAATCTGCTAGACAACGCTTGTTGCGGTCTATTGTTTCTCCCTCTGGGAAGCCCAAAGGCTTCATCTGTGTGTTCTCAAAGAGGAAGGAACTGGCCGGTGATGCTCTCTTCATTTTAACAGCACGAAGATGGGGTTTATTTATTTATTGTTCTTTGTGGTACAAGCACAGTGGCTGTTGCCATGAATAAGTAGTGCAGGACTTAAAAAAGATCCCACTCTGGGTCTTATAATGCACATTGATTAGGCCTTAATAAAATGCAAAATCAGGGCAGTAAAGAGGCTTCTTTTGCCACTTCTTGTTGCATAGTTAGGAGATGCAATCCTGATCAGGTCCACTCAGAAGTAAGTCCCATTTTAATAAGTGGAGCTTATTCCCAAGAAAGTGTTCTTGGGATTGCAGCTGGACTCCAGTCCATGTTAGTAGTATATAGAAACAGGAAATGGTAGTTATTTTGGATTCTGAATAAAGATGTCTTAGCTTGTAGGTGATGTGAAAGCCATTTTGGTCCAGGAGACAGAAAGCTGCCCCATGACCTGGGAGAGTGGAATTCAAGTGTTATGCTAGTAAACTTGGATGTATACATACATCTGTAGATTTATGAATGTGTGTTGCATCTGCTTTTTCTCTTCCACTGCAGTGTCTGAAGACAATCTCTTGCAGGAGATATGCACACTGGGTTTTTTTTGGCCCCCTGAAGGGGATTTTTTAATTGCATTTTATATAAGGACTACAAACTAAAATGAAAATAGGGAAGGGGAAATACATTTAAGGAGAAAGAAAAGATAACCACTACTAACTAAAAACCCAAGAGAGGAGATAATCAAATTAGCTTGTACACAATGCCATCCCTTAAAACGCTAACAATTTTATGAACTTAGTCAGATATGCTAATATAACTTTTAAATCTTAAATTTAGCTGTTGGAAAAAGACCCCTAAGCATCTCAATATTAACAACAGTATTTTCAAAGGCACACTTGTTGAGATGCTTGCACTGTGTGTTCATTTCTCTCACTCAAGAATAGAAAGGCAATGTAATGTATCCATCTCAGACTGCGTGCGTGGCCATTTCACCACACGGTCAGGTGAAGTGACCGAGCTTCACTCTCAGTAACAATGGGACAAGCGGATCCTAGCCTGCACCTACCGGCAGGCTAGGCTCCTGGCCGAGAGCCTATGGAACTCTTGGCCACTGTAAATAGCCAATCACTTGTGTGTGGGTGTGTTTGGGGAGCGGGGTTGTGCACATATAAACCAGCCTGCGAGCTGGGTACTCTCGTCTTGTTCTGAGCTGAAATAAAGTATGAGAGCTGAAATCACTAGTAAATCTCAATACTTTTCAGGCAAAAAGTTTAAGCACTCATCCTTTTAATCTATCTGTGCTTTTTGCGTCAGCCCAAATAGTATGTGAACTTTTCCTACCAACAGGAATAATGGTGAACTGTTTCACAGTGTTACACACAATAGAGACATGAAGTAATTTACTATAGTACTATATAAATATGTTGCAGTGGTGTAAGCGATAACTTTCTTCAAGTTTACTCCACTGTGGAAGACCTAACTTAGTGAAGCATGTTACCACCAAGCACCAGAGCCTGGAATTTAAATGTAATCATTGGCCCCGGTCACATGGGCCAGAAAATGCGGGGGGGAAGCTTGGCTGTTTGCCCCGGAACAAAATAACGCGCGGCTGCACAATCAGACATCCCGTCGAGGTCCCATCGAGGTCCCGTGGTTATGGGGGAGGTGCCGATCACAGGACAATCCTGCGGCGCAGCAAAGAAGCGGCCTCTCTAACAAAAGGCTCCGCGGGTTTAACCCCTTCCAGGGCTGCAGAGGAATGCAAACTGTGTCCTCTGTCCGGTCCCCTTCAGGAGGAGCTTCAGCCGGGCCGCCCTCCCGCCACGCCCCCCCTGGACCTCCCCCTCTGCAGCCCGAGCCAGGAGTGGGGGGGTACGGAAAAGAGGAGGGGGCTGTGTTGTTTGTTTTTAAACAAAGTGTGCGCATGTGCCATTGGGTGCTTGTGCGCATCCCGTGGAGACTTTTTTTTTTAAAAAAAACCTTTTAGTGATGGGACATTGGCAGGCGCCGGATGCCACGACTTACCACCGGAAACGCGATCAGACGCCCACCCTTGCCCCACGGTTTCCAGAAACTAGTACCTCAGAGGTACTAGTTTTTTAAGCTGCATCTTCGGCGGGAAGCCTCGGGTGAGCCACGGGAGCGCTATGCTTCCCAGATGTTGCGGTGTGATCACGCCCGGAAAATCCACCTATCTTCCGTCTCTGTAGCGTGGCTAATGCTCCATGTGACCGCAGCCATTGATAGTCTTGCAGAACTGAGTTAACCATTATGCAAAGTAGCTGTAGTGTCCTCCCATAACTAGATTTTTAGCTCCTTTTCTGATGCAGTTGTATGGTAGACTGAAAGAGTGCCCACTGCTTGGAGTGAACTCCTTTAAATAGCAGCTTTATCACAAAGTAAGAAATCAGAAGAACTGTAAGTAAATGCGAATTTACTTACGGCAGGATATTGGAAACAGGAGGATACACCGTCTAGAGAGGAATTTATAGTTAAAATTACAGAAATAGCCGATTTGGATAACTTGACAATGAAGCTTCAAGGGAAAGAAGATGATGTTTTTGATAATATTTGGTTAAAATTTTATAGATGGTTAGAGAAGAACGTTTAGATCAACCGATAGGCATGAAAAACGGAGTGAATGTGCTGTTGTCCATAGCGGATATGTAAACCCTGTTAAGGAATCCATGTTTATGTTGTATGGGGTTTGTTTCAAATAATAAATATCATATTAAAAAAAAAAAGAAATCAGAAGAACTGTCCTCCAGTGAAGAAAAGCATATTTGTATAAAACTGGTGACTAAATAGTAGACAATTCCAGAGGCAGAAATGGAAGGAGGGGAAGGTAGTTTGTGGGTGAATACTAGAAAAGAACAAGTGTCCAATAGCACCTTAAAGACTAACAAAATATGTGGTAGGCTATGAGCTTTCGTGAGTCACTGCTCACTTCTTCAGATACTGTAAGTGGTAAAAAAAATGGCTTGTGGGTTATGATTCAACATAGGAATCCCTGTTCCTGTAAGCAGAGACAGTCTGGTAAAATAAAAGTATATTTGCATTGTTTCAACCTATGGCTTATTTGTATGCTTTCTGTGTTGTACCTTGTGGATAATTGTGGGACATCATCAGTTCCAATTTGCTGACATAAATGTGTCTTGCATTTTACCAGACAGTTCATCATTTGCCCTAGAAGTATATGTTGCTACAAAGTTCAGTCTGAGTGCCCTTGTTCTGACTTCCTTGGTCAGAACAATTAACCATGCACAGGAATGCAGTCATTCCCCATAAATTTAATTATGTGATTTTTATTAATAATTTATTTTGAATGTCTGCATTTTAAGGTGGAGTTTCTAAGCAGTGTGCTAAGAAGGCACCTGTTCCTGGGGTTAGCCCAGTCCAGGGGCATTGCTAGGGGGCTTCCCATGCCCTCCCCCAAATTTTTGGGGAACCCCTCCCTAAATTCCACATGGCTCCATCTCCATAGATAGTGACAATGGCCTGTGATGTAACTAGTTCCTCCCTATGATGTCATTGGGTCCCAGTTCTTTTAACGACTTAGCAATGCCTCTGGCCCAGCCCCAGCCCCCCCCCCCCCCCGGGAAATTGGAAAGTCTACGCCTATGTGTAGGATGTTGATGGAACCTGTTCTGGCAAATTAATTAGGCAGAAAGAATTATAGAGTCAGAGGTTTAGCATGTTTCAGTTACCGCAGCTGGTTCCACATGGTCTGAAGGATCATTGTTTTCACATCAGGAAGGATATGTTGTGCAGTACTTTTCTGTATTACCAGGCAGATTTGTTGTGGTAAAAATGTTTTAAAAAGTAACTTTTTCTCCTCTTTAACAGAATTGTAAAATATGAAGAGAATTATGAGCATTTTAAAATCTAAACATGCTGCAGGGATATTAAGTCTTTTGTAGATCCGTTCAAGGAAGAAAACACAGAAGAAACACAAACATTTAAACTTCTTAATGCTGATCCTCTGCTTTGCATGGAATACAATTTAGAGTATGTGAAGTCTGGGTTAAAATTTCTCTGGAAAGAAGATTTCGGTGTTTCACCATGAAATGCTGCAGATTGTTTGGATCTGCTTGGTTGTTTATTCCCACCATTACAGTATACAGGTTTGTGGTATTTACTTTATGATTTGTAAGGCTATAACTGTTCGATACATGAAAAAGAAATGTCATAAATAAATTAAGTATAGACAGTGTTCTTATTAGTGATGAACGCATTTCTGTGACAGTCTGCTGTGTCCATGAATATAGGGGTTGGATCCAGTCAGCTTTTCATTCACTCTCATGCAATTTCCCTCTTCATTAGGGGAATCCCAAGTGTTCCATTCCTACAAACCTTTTGCCCAGGCAGGTTCCATGATCCCCAGCATAGCCTTTCTGGTGGTCATTTTCTTCATTTTCTCACTAGTGGAAAAGGTGGTTGGATCCAACCCATGTTCTTTTTTTCCCCTTGAAAGACTTTGAAATATTAGAAGAAGAGGAGGAGATTGGATTTATACTTCGCCTTTCACTCAGAGTCTCAGAGCGGCTTACAAACTCCTTTCCCTTCCCCTCCCCACAACAGACACCCTGTGAGGTAGGTAGGGCTGTGACAAAAGGGAATGAAATGGTTACCCTTAAGCAGGGGTCATTTCATAGAAAAAGAGGTGCAGGAGCTCATTTGCATGATTCATTTGCATATGCCACACCCCCTGACAAAGGGCAGGCATGCAAGCATGCCTGGGTTCCCTGCCTGACCTGTGGGGTACGTGGAGAAGATTGGGCAGGGAACCCAGGCATGTTTAGAATGCCTTTCTGGGGAAGCGAAATGCCATGTTTAGGATGCCATCTGGGGAAGGCATTTAAATCCCCCCAGGCGGTGGGGGCCCCTGGCCCTGGTGTCCTTACTGCCGGGGCACTGTTCCGGTATGTTCCGGCAGGAAATGACCCCTGGCCTTAAGATTAAAAAAAAGAAGCCATAAACATTATTTGTGGAAACAAAGCAAGCAGAAAAACAAACACCAACATGGGGATTTAAATTAAAAGTTAAACTAATAAGTAAAATCAAGCTGTTAACAGCAAATTAACCAGGAATAACAAATTTAGCCCATGATAAAGAATTAAAAATGAACTCTTGCTTTTTAATCTGTCACGCTGAAAACTACTGTTGTACTGATCATTGTCAAGGGTAATTATATACGTTACTAATGATAGGTTCCACAGGGGCTTCTCTGTTCCTCTCAGTGAGCAAGGAGATATGTATTACATGGGAGCAGCGCCTCCCTTCACAGGGTATACTGGATGGGGATTTGACTTAATTTGTGTTCTTTGTGACAGGTCCTTGCAAACTATGAATCTGTGTCTCATATTTACTGTACTCTGTGGGGGGAAGAGTCCAAAATAATGAAAAATAAAGCCTTGTTATTGGGGGGTAGTGTAAAAACAAGTGCAAATGTGCTAAATTGAAATAGGGGGCATAACTGACCCCTTTTCCTCTCTCTCCCTCTCCTGTGTAGTAAACCATGAAGTCTACATTGTGCCTTTCTATTGTGTTAACTTTATTCCGTTTGGTAAAATCAGGTAAGTGCCACAGTTCACAGGTGAAGCAATAAAACTTTGTGGACAAGTTTCCAATTATTTAGAGAGAGGAAGCTTAGATAATTGTAAAAGGCCCCTGCCACACGGCAGGGGAAAAGCCTCTTTAAAGCGCGGATCCCCCGGCCGCACACAGATCCCCCGGCCGCGCCGCCTTTTCTCCCCGGCGCGATCAAACGCCGGGGAGAAAACACGTCCCGAACGGGAGCCGGCCGAACTGCGCATGCCCGAGCATGCGCAGTTCGGCTCCAGGCCGGGGTTGACCAAACATACCACTTTTCTTATTGGTTAAATGACCAGATGCTTTAGCTGTGTGCTTTAAAAATGTGCCTAGTTGTGGTGCTATGTGTGGAATCACGTTTGAGGTCTCTGCAACTGCCTTTTTAAAAGGACTTTTAAAAAATATTGTGAAATGCATATTTGGCCATTTGGTTAACTTACGGGAGTGGCTTTTTGCATTATAGTTTTGTAAGTACCACCCTGCAATTTGAGCATCTGATTTGTATAAGTGGGCGCTTTTCAGGGCAGAGTCCCAGTTCAGATTACTGAGATACGAACAGCCTATCGGGTCTAAATTTGAGAATATTGGGATGTTTTATCTTTTCTCACAAATCATAAATGTACACTGGCATTGGTCTGTTGCGTTCTGTAAATGTTAGGTTAGGTTTCAAAACTCAAGGCTTTTCCGTAACTGAGACTCCTAAGACACATCAAAACCAGAATCGAATGGCTGCTCTTGTCCCTCCTTTGCTGCATTTCTAATATTTGCAGCGTGAGCAGCAGAGGGGCAATGAGAGAAAAACAGCCTTGTGGATAGCTGGACACGCCTGCTCTTTCTGGTGTTGAGCTGATCACCTGCCCTTGTGAATGGGTGTTCTAACCTGTAGCTTGAAAAGGTCAGAGAGACCATGTACTCCTTAAAATGCCTCTCCAGATATGAAATGGCTATTTTGGAAACAATTCTTATTTAACAAAGGACGGCTGACTGCACTGTTATTAAACCTAAAAGTAGAACTGGGATGTTTGGGCAGATTGCATTGGCTGTTTCTAATTTTTCCTAGGCTGCACTGAGGAGAGAAAAAGCTGCTATAGATACTGCCATGTGCAATCAGAATTATGCAAGGGTGAATGTAACCTTTATGTATGCCGGCCAATACATTTAGTACGTAGACAACATTGAATGTAATTGAAAACGTGACGCTGCCTCAAACTGAGTCAAACCATTGATTAATTAAAGTCAGTATTGTCTTTGATTGTACTGTGACTGGCAGTGGCTATCCAGGACCTCAGGAGACGGTGTTTCATACCATCCACTAGCTGCACAATCCTTTCAGCTAGAGATGCGAGTTTAAATGTGCCAAGCAGATGCCCTCTTTGAACCCTGCCCTACCCCCTAATTTTTTTAAGTTCAATAAAAATAAAGCATAAAAACTGAAGTGCCTTTCTAGCTTGATGGTTACTGTGATGGCGGGCTTCTTGGCTCCAGGAATGTCTGTGGCACAAGGATGGGCGACGTGAGACGTGGTGCCCCAGCCATGAAGGAGGGATAAGTCTTACAGCAAGGCTCTGTCCCTGTGCGGCTCTGATTGCATCCTGTGGATAATAGCAGTTGCTTAGAGTTGCTTTCTCCTGAAAGGGTCACGAAACTCTCACTTGCTGTCTTAACTCACTTTCTCCTCTCTGTAGAGAACTGTACTGTTCAGGATGATGCTCGCCAGGAAAAGGTCATAGTGGGCCAACCTTTTTGGATTGATTGCAATGAAATACTTGGTGTTAACCAGAAGACCTATAATCTGAGCTGGTATAGAAATGGAAGTGAAGAGCCCATAACTAAAAAAACAGATTCAAGAATACATCAACGCGATGACAAGCTTTTGTTTCTTTCTGCAAATTTTCCAGATTCTGGATCCTACACATGTGTCGTATGGTCAGGACATACTTTTGTGTGGTTTGTGGGGAGGAGGGAACTTTTGCTTTACCAGTGAGAATGTCCATGTCATAGAGAAGGACATAAATTTTCAGTGCTGCTGGGGAATGAATTTAACAGAGTATGTTGGCATTTGCATTCTTTGCGGGGGTTTGCTGGTCCCTTCCCAACACACACGTTTAGGGAAACAGGCAAGTCCTTCAATATTGCCTATAAAACGCTCAGCTGTTCCTCACTGGTATTCCTAGGCTTTCAGTTATAAATTCTTGCAGAAGAACCTTAAACTTCTCAGGGTATTGTTCAAAATCCTCAAATATGCTATCCTTTTTGATTGGTTGAAATTATTTTCCTAGCATTATTTCCAGTGCCTCTTTTCGTCTCATAACATGATCAAAATACGATAGCCTCAGTTTAGTCATTGTAGCTTCTAGGGAGCATTCAGGATTGATTTAATCTAGAACCTATTTATTTGCCTTTTTTGGCAGTCCGTGGTATCCATAAAACTCTCCTCCAACAGCAGTTATAAACCATTTATTTGAATATAGGATACATGCACTCCATTTTTCTTCCCAGAACTTCCTAGCATAGTAATATTTACTTAAACCAAGCAGCTGAAATTATTTGAAAATCTTAATGGTTAAAGACTGTTAAGAAGATCTACCAATTATTTTATGGCTTGGGATGACCAACTGGAAGTTCCCACAATGTCCCCTTAGAGCTGCAAAGCAAAAAACTTCTACAGATCTGTTACAAAAGTTCATATGTTACTCCTCTGTGGGTTTCCCCTGGAGTGATTTTGCATAGGATTGCAGTTCTTTTCCTGTTGGGCATAGAATCAAAAGATTATAGCCTTAAATGGTTCTTTATTGTTCAAAGTGGAGGTACCTGTGTTACCAGTTTGCTATTCTAATGCTAAGAGCTTTAGAATTCCCCCGAAATTAACATTTCTGGAATCAGTGTGTGGCTGTAAACTCCAACAAAGTGTGTTTCAAGAGTATGCTTTTGGTAGGGAAGAATATAGCATTGTGCATAAAAGTTAAAACAATTAACAAAACTGTAAAACGTTGTTACATATAAAATTTGTAAGAAATGGGTAGGGAAATGATTGGGTAAGAAATAAAAAATGATTGGGTATCTGGGTGTCATTGTATCCACTCAGCTACTTAATCTTTTGAATCTAAGACTGCAATCAGATGGCAGGCTTTGGCACGGTCTGGCCATGCCTCTACTTTCTCCAGAACTATTTGTTCTGGAGAGGTGCAACCAGACATGCCACCCTATTCCTGCCTCACCCCACGGTCGACCATTCAAACTGCTGCTGCATGGTCACCACAGAGAGGGCAGGCAGGCAGCTTCTTTAAAAAAAACACCTCTAATGTGCACATGCACATATATGCCTATTTGCTAGGAGCAGATATGTGGTTATGTGCACATCGCTAACTGCAAAAAAAAAAAAGGCAGCCGGGGACCGGAAGTGTCAGACCTCACCAAGCATATCTAGCATGCAAGGGAGAGATCAGACACCTGGAAATCTGTGGTGAAACATGTTCAATCATATACAGTGGGCTTTATCCAGTGCTGGGAAAGTCAGGGGTGAGGATTGGGATCGATGACTGAGGGACGGGAGGCAGATGTTGCTATCTGATGGTGCACTTCAAATCCGGTAGGGAGCCATCACAACATCGCAGCAACTTGCCCATCTGATCGCACCTAAGAGAGCTACCATATAATCTGGGTTTTTGTTTTGATGTCTTGCTCCACAAGGAGTATACAAAAATCAAGCTGATTGTGAAAGTGTTGGACAACAGACATTAGTTTCATGCAGATACGATGGGAATGCCAAGTTGTTATGGGATTTTGGAAGTAGTGTAGAATAACTGGGAATATGTGGAGGCTAGATCAGTTTGAATGTGGAGATCTTTCTGAACCATACTGGATCTTCCAAACATCTTGTCCAGTTCAAGGAGCCTTTCATTGGTGCAAGAAGTTATTCAGGCCTCTTACACTGGGGAAAGCCTTCTTCCTTATGCCTGAGGAAAGTGCCTTCATTAGCAGAACAGATCCATGGGTTTCAACCCAACATCTGTACCATAAATTCCTTGACTCCCATAGAACTTGTAGTTACAAAATATTAGAGAAATAAAGGCTTATTAGAAGAACATTGTTGCTATCAGAATTGAATAACCTGTACTGCTAAACCTTTGGAAGCATTATTGTTCTTTTATTGGTTATTGAAGAAGTATTATGATTATCCCTTACTTGGCACATATGTTTTCTTTTGCAATTTGTTAATGTCTCTGTGTGTTTTATAAAAATGTTTTAACATGATTTTCGTCTTCTTTTTTGGTCACAGGGCATCAACAAGATGTTACAAAAGTGTTGTGAGAGTTGCAGTTTTCAATAACAGCGATGGCCAGTGTTTTAATGATGAACTTTTCGATAAGCAAAAGATACTAATAGGATCAAATTCAAAGCTTGTGTGTCATAGCATGCCCAGTTTTAAGGACGATATGAGTGCTTTGTCCATTCGTTGGTATAAGGTACAGAGCTAATGGAATTCCTTCCTCTGTGGCATTTAACCACGGGCTCCATTCTAACATTCTAACCTTGAAAATGCTGCAGAATTTTGTTAGCCATTTCAACATGCCTAGGACTATGAGGGGAATATGGAGTCCCAAATCTGTGTTTCTCTTGTCATCGTTAACATAGAATAATTTTTTCAGGAGAGTTTTGGTGACTTGCCTAGGCCTAACATGAAACTTAAAGCAGGGACTTCCTAATTCAGTTAAGTCTCTTAGCTATTACAGTATACAAGTTGGAAATATGTTTCATGACGATACTTCCATTTAGTGTTTTTGAGACTTGGTAGATCACCCTGTTCATATGTTACATCCTGTATGTATCTGCTTACTACATTTGTAAGAAAGAGCCAATGTGTGTTCACTTCACAAATGAAACTGGGGATGAGTACCTGAATAAATGTGGAATTTAAACAACGTGCTCAGTTGTACATGCATTTAATGTAACACAAGAATTTAGGGTTGCCAGGGTCCCACTGGCCACCATTAGGGAATGGGGGGATAGGATTGCCAGATACAGGTTGAGAAACTCCTGGAGATTTGAGGATGGAGCCTGGGAAAGATTAGGGACCTCAGTAGGGTACAATGCCATAAAGGTCACCCTCCAAAGCATCCATTTTCTTCAGGGGAACTGATCTTTGACATCTGGAGATGAGCTGTGATTCCTGGGGATCACTATGAGAATTGCTCTACACACACAAAGAAAAATCAAGTGTCCCGTGTGCATGGATTGTGTATGCATTCACTATAACTTGTGAACAGGGCTATAGTTGAGCTGACTCATTTATTTATTATGTCTTCATGCCTGTACTTACAAATGCTAGTTATATAGATCGCTATCATTACACTGGAAGGCTTGTGGTCAGAACATCAGACTTGGATTAAGAGTCAAATCCTCCCTCAGATGTGGATATTTTTAGTGGCCTTGGGCCAATCCCTCTCCTTCAGCCTAGCTCACAGGGTTCTTCTTCCTAGAATGCAGTTATGTTACTTTGCCAGGGAAAACATCACCATGAAATGTATTGTTCTTTCAATTGAATAAGAACTTTGCCCACTAGGACTGCAGACTGGGCCATTAAAATGGCACAGAAACAAGCTGGGCAGTCCTGTGTGGTCCCACTTGGAGGCAATAGGGAAGGAATTGACAAATGATCCTCTCTACCCATTGCCATGGACTGGGTACAAGCCCCTGCAGCCCTGCCAACAGGACTGGGTGTAAACCAGAAGAGCAGCGCATTAGGGATTTTCTTGGACTACATAAAACAGAGGGGAACTCTCTTGGATTTTGATTTCTGTTCTTTGGTGGATCTTGAGTGGGATTTGTCTGGGATTATGTAGAAGCCTGTAGGAAGCATCTTGTGGTTCATTTGAGTGTACTCTGTTCGCATGCCATGTATGATGAAAAAGAACTTACCTTGGTTGCACTTAGGAATGTAAGCAGCTGGATGGGGAACGATTTGTCTTCCTTGACAAGGATTTTATAATAAACAATGTGAATTCAAATGATTCTGGAAAGTACCAGTGCAAAGCAACATACACTTATGAGGGGAATAAATATAACATCTCAGGAAGCATTTTGGCACTTGCTATAGGTAAGTGAATGCATTTTGTTAGTTCACTGGTAATGTTTTGTATTCAAACACTCCTAGGTATTGTGCTGAACCCAATGGAGCAGTTCCACAGAATGGAGCAATTCCACGAAGGATTTCCACCCAGGGAGCATGACTTTCTTGCCTCCCCCTCCTGCTGGAGCTGAAAATGCACCCCTATGCTGCTCTTGGGGCAGCATTTCAGGAAGCGTTTGGGGCTGTAGCAGAAGTAGGAAGCAAGAAGGTCACATTGTGCGGGCAGAAATCCTTCCGACTAAGGAAATCCTCCTTAGACCCAAGTCGTTGTCTCCGATTTCTTTTTCCAGTGCAAAACTTCTGTTAACTTCACTGGGTTTTCAATCAGCGACCAACAGGGTTGCCAGCTCTGGATTAGGAAATACCGGGGGGTGGGGGGGGTGGCAATGTTGCCTCTAAGCTGAGTTAGTGTGAGCTCACACCGGCTCACACGTTTTTGTCTTAGCTCAGGAAGGATGGCTCCAGAGCAAACTATTTTATGCAGTAGCCAAATTGCTTGCTCAAAACGTTAATGCTAGTAGCTCACAAAGTAGAATTTTTGCTCACAGGACTCCACAGCTTAGAGGGAACATTGGGGGGTGGAGCCTTAGAGGGGCGGATTTGGGGGCATAATGCCAGAGAGTCCAATTCCCGAAGCAGCCACTTTCTCCAAGTGAACTGATCTCTCTCGCCTGGAAATCAGTTGTAATAGTGGGAGATCTCAAGCCACCACCTGGAGGTTGAAAGGAAACAAACAACCGTGATGTATTGTGCCAAAAAAAGGTCTTCACAGACTCGAAAAATCTTTTTCCAGTATTTAGTTTACTTCCAGTATTTAGTTTACTTCTCCTTTCCGTCTCCCCCAAAACCCACATGAATTTGTGTGTCTGATTCTTCCTATGTGGTACATCCTCTCTATATGAAAAGGAATGTGCGGTGCAATGCCTCCTTCAAACATTGCTCTTTTCCATTGCTTCAAGCTACTTTTCTCCATAGCTTAGGGACAGCTTTAGTACGGCCCTCATCCACATACAGCTTTCCACAGAACACACTAGTCTTCTGTCCCCACTTAGTATACAAATAAGGGTCGTCACATAAAGAATACTCGTTGCTTCCCTGTCACATCTCATTTGACCCCAAGAATCGATGTGAACTGGCTGTTCGCATGTGTTTATATTTCTCAGCTCTTGCAGTGATTCTGTCACTTCCTTTGTCACTGCTGCGCCATTGCAAGTGATGTTCACTTTGGCATTTCTGTGTCAACAAATTGGTATTCTCACAACTCTGATTAGTTTTTGGAGCCGTGCCAGTGTGGCTGTACTGAATGTTTCCCCGTCCCCGTGTGAAAGATGCAAATTGTACTATAATACAATAATGCCCTACGTCAGAGACAAGGCTGTTAATCTTCTATTCAAATCTTATGAGTAGGTGACCTTCAGCAAGCCTTTTTTAAAAAATTCTCAGTTCTCCCATCTGTGTAATTGGATGCAGTGATGACACAGAGTACAGGTTTGTTGTTAGGACTACGTACGTGCTCTGAACTTTCTAAAACCCCGTATTGTTATCATTATGTGCTTGTTATATGTGTTACCTGAACTTTGACATAAAAGGCATATTTTCAAAAAATGCTTCTTTTTAATTTTTTGCTAGGAAGTCCAGTGAAAAAAGGAACTGAGATTCTGTACCCAAGGAACAACACAATTGAAGCAGAACTTGGTAAATCTTCCTCTATTTTATCTTCAGTCTGTTTGTCTAAAGACATATGGTGACTGTGAGGGCAACTGGCAAAAACATACCACCTCTTGGGGTGCAAGGAAATTTTAGTGTTGCCTAGTTAAATTTCACTTAGAGTTCCTTGGAAATTCATGTTAGAAATCCAAGTCGATGGCATTATGCTGCATCCCCATTTCTGTTGCTGTCATTCTTCATTTTCCCACAGATCAAGCCACATACCAGTTACTCGATTTTCCCTATGCCACCCACTTTTCTCTTATTATTCCATAGCTTTCTCTCTCTCTGTTGCTCTTTACTCTCCATGATACTTCTAGATAGGTATCCATGTTTGTTTGTGGCAGCAAAATGAAAGGAGGAGTGCAGTGGCTGTCAAAATGTCTTCCACAAGCTTCTGTGACTTAGAGCTCACTAAACTGTTTTATTGTGTTGCTCTTTACTTTGTTTCCCCATATTTGTTAATCTCCTCTGTTTTTCTACTTTGGTCTTCCTGTGTCCTCACTCTCAGTACCATCTCTTTCTCTCTCTCTCTCTCTCTCTCTAAAAACTCCAGGCTTATTTCCATTTCCCCTCTTGCCTCCTTTTCCACCCAGTTCATTGGCACTAGCGCACAAAGCTTTCACGTTCAAGCAATCCAGGGACTTAAAGGCAATTCTCTCTCTGGGCAATCCACACAAGATGCAGGCAGGACATGCAAACAGGCTAGAAAACTGGCCAGCTCCACCATGTGCTGGTGAATGCAGAGATGGAGGCACTCTGCCATCCCCATTATCACTTTACATAAAGATATGGGAAGGGGTCTGCAACAGTGAATATGTCAGATTTCCCCAGAGAGCTGAAAACAGACAGGGAGGAAGCCTCAGGTGACCTTATAGTATGCAAATCCATTGTACTTCACCACTGAGTGGAATGAAATTGTATGTTCCAGTTTGCAGGGATGCAGTGTCTTAGGAAAGGCCTGTGTTCTCATTCCATTGTACAACTACACGTTATTGGCCTCTGATGTCCATTTTCATTTCAGGATCCAGTGTGTTTGTAGAGTGCAATGTATCAGATTCCACAGACAGTCTTACTGCTATATCCTGGAAAGTCAATAAAATTCTCGTCAACGATCTGTTTGATGGTAGAATTCAAGAGGGATATGAGTAAGTATCTGTATTGTATACAAACAAATCAAACAACGATCTGAAACAGTAACTCACCTGTTTCTTTGTTTACTGCAATGAATGTCAGTTTTCATGGTGGGTAAAAACAAATTCTGACAGCTAGAATTTAGAACAGCATTGGTGGGTGTTAATAGTTATTGCTCTGTCAGCTAGCTTGGATTATTGTTTATTAAAGAACAGTGTTTCACATTCAGGACTCTTCATGTAATGTATGTAGACTAAAGAATAGAGATTTTCATTTGATCTTAGAAACCTCAATTTCCCTGGCAAACTTGCTTCCCACTTGCAGATCTTGCCTGAGAACTGCAGATCGTGTTCTGTATCTTGCTTGCAGTTCTTATGGGCAATGTGAACAGACCCAGCAGGCTTGTAAACTGTGTGTTAGAGGGTTGCCAGCTCCAGGTTGGGAAATACCTGGAGATTTGAGGGGTGGAGACTTAGGAGGGTGGGGTTTGGGGAGGTGTAGTGCCACTGCCAGGCAGGCAGTTACCACCAGACCTCAAGCACTCCTTTGCCAACCTGGCAGGAGGTTGGGCTGGAGGCCTGACAAGCAGAGCACTCTAACTATTACTAAAAAAATCAGAAGTCAAGTTCCTCTTGCTCCTAAACCACAGTAGGCTGCCACCAGACCTGTTTCATCCAGAAATGCAAGGCACAGGCCAACTCTGCTTCCTTTAGGACTTTGAGCAGAAATCCAAACTCCAGAGTCAGGAGTTCCACTCATATACTATTGGTAGGGCCAAAAGGGCAACTAGAAAAAGCCTTCTGCAAACCCCAGACAGAAACACACCAAACAGATATGTAACTAAAAATTTTATTTATGGTGCAAAGCAATACCAACATACTAGGTGAACAGAAAATAAAAAAGGTTTTTAATACTTCTAGCTAGTTACCTTGGATATTACAACACCAGTTATCCACAGCAATTCTTCAAGCAATAAGAGCAGTCTGCTTACAGCAGTTCAGCAGAACAGACCACAAATCTCAGTTTCTCCAACAGAGGTTCAGGGTTTCCCTCCAAATGGAAAAACAAGAGACCCTGTAGCATACCCAGCTACAGGTCTAAAGTTAGACAAAGAAAAGAGGAAAAGACTTCATTTTTAACCATTTCTGGGAACACCTGACCATAGGCACTAATGGGACCTTGCAACCCCAGTACCAATCAGGGAGTTTGACATATGTAAATGAAGTATTTGTCATATGTAATTGAAAGCTGAACTGGTTAACATTCACATGCTCGGTTGTTGCATGGGAACCCCAACCAGCCTCGGCTGTCCAAGGCCATTCCTAAAAAAACAAGTCTTCGTGGTGTCAGTGCTAGGCAACCCAAAGCTAATGGTCTGCAGGTGGCCTTATCAGCACTTCTCAGTCTCAAGAACACAAAACCAAACACAGGGCTCCTGCGAGGAACTACATACAAATGAACAATTAAAAATAAAATAAAAATAGCCCCCCGGTTACTACAGGAGGGGGAGGGACTTCAGTATAATGCCACAAAATCCATCTTCCAAAGAAGCCATTTTCTCCAGGTCAACTTATCTCTGTCACCTGGAGGTCAGCTGAAAAATCTGGAGATCTCCAGCTACTACCTGGAAGTTGGCAACCCTAACCATAGGACACTCTCCCGAATCCAGGCATTCTGATGCTTAGGAGTTCTTCTGCAGACAAATTGATGTGGGTTGTGTTCAATGTTCTCTCTAAGCTGTGGAGCCTTGTGAGCAAAAATCCTACTTTGTGAGCTACTGGGCATTAAAGTTGTGAGCAAGAGATGTGGCTACTGCATAAATTAGTTTGCTCTGGAGCCATCCTTCCTGAGCGAAGATGAAAATGTGTGAGCCAGAGGCTAAAAAACTGTGAGCTAGCTCACACTAACTCAGCTTAGAGGGAACACTGGTTGTGTTGTCTGGGGTAAGAAAGTGAAAATGCTACCAACGTGTTGACACACGGATGCTGTACTTCATATAAAACAAGAGGCGGTATAGTTCCTTGTGAGAACTTGTGCAAGAGGCGGTATAGTTCCTTGTGAGAACTACAGCATGTCAGGTTTTGTACTGTTGAATCTGCCCTGAATATGGCTGATGTGGCTTCATCTACCTAGCGACCAGGGGTCATTTCGTAGAAAAAGAGCTAGGGGAACTCATTAGCATAACTCATTAGCATATGCCACACCCCCTGACATCAGGGGCCCGGCGGTGGACCTGCAAGGCCAGCGGGAGTGCGAGGAAGCCCCGCCAAGGCCCTCCCTGGCCCCAGGCAGGCAGGGGTGGGGAGAGGCGGGGAGGAAGCAACTTACCCTCCCTCTTCTCCTGCCTCCTCCTGGCTGAATGAGGGCTGGAAGCGGGGTGGCCAGAAGCAGGGGGCGGGGCTTCATCATGTACCCTGCCCCCTGCACCTCACCCGGGGGAACTGTGTTCCCCCACGTTCCCCCCCGAAATGACCTCTGCTAGCGACTGGTTTACAGCTGAGCTGAGCTTTTCATAACTAGCACCTACCACTTCCCTCCAGATCCAAATGCAGTGCTTTTTTTTTTATGAGGGCACAGTGGATCATGAGTGCAGGTCTTCACTGTGGTGTTTACATTTTGGACAGTAAATACTTCCCTGCGGAAGAAGAGCTGCTTACTGTAGTGCCTCTGAACATCACCGTACTGAAACAGGAAGATTACGGCGAGCGGTTTGTCTGCCATGCTGGGAAAGTGGCAGCATACATCTCGGTGCAACCTCCAAGTATGTCATTCGGTTTCTGTTAGTAATCTATTTCAACTGCGAAAAGTATTTTAAAAAGGAAAAGATAACTCGTTTTAAAAAGGAATGAAGAAATAACAGGTTTTCCAAACTGAAATGTTTTATAAAACAGAAATAGAGACCTGTGAAAAATTGGTGATGGGAGATACCTTCTTCTACCCTTTATTGGTGAAAGATATGGGTTGCCAGACCAGAAGGCATGACAGTCCCTTCCATCTTCCCACTCATATCTCCTCTGTATAGGCTGGGATTATCCCAGACAAAGCAGCAGTGGCAAGCAAAGCACAAGGCATATTTGTGAATGATCGTGGTGGTTGTTTGTGTGTATTCAGCAGTAATCTACAGATGCTGAAGAGAATGTGAGAGTCCCCTTTCATCAGGCTACCTCAGAGTTCCAGGTTACCCAGATTGAAATATACTGGGTTTGAGACCCGTGTAGTGATCAGCTCATAGTTTATTGTGAATCAGCTCAAACTAAGGACAACTCTAGCAGGACCGAAGCCCTGCTTAAATCCGTGCACAACACCTCACCCCACAAATACCCACTACCCATGATAGGCTATTTATAGTGCGACTCCTGGTCTATAGGTTCCTTCCAGCAGCCTAGCTATCTATTGTTCTAGGTTTCAAGCTTGGTCAGTCAATGCCGGGCCCAGGACATAACACAGATCTTCTGTCTCAGATATCGAGTCTCTAAGGATATAGCCAAAAGTTGGGATCTGGCAGACAGGTCGTGGGAAACAGCCTGATTAGGCCTGGATTATTGAGGTGGAAACTGATGGACTTGGCGGTACAGCAAGCTCTCGAGCCCCACCTGAACTTGCTGCAGATCCTGACAAGGCTAAAGCCCGGAAACCTCAAGTCAAGCCCTCAGCCCTTGGAATTCCCAGCTTGCACCTGCCACCCACAGTTGGCAAAGCTGGGAGAGCCTCAACAGTGGTGGTGGCTAAGGATGGTTTGGAGGAGAGATTTCAGAAGAATGGGTATAGCTCACAGGTCTGTTCTCCACTGTGTCCCCAAGCCTTGAAGGACTTTTGCTTGGGTGATACCCTCCCACCCCATGTCGCAGTGCTATGTATATGCAGGGAAGAAGATATCTACAAGTTACTGTCTTGACAATAGTTATTGTAGATCAAGGTGCTGCTGCTGAACTTTAAAGCCTGATATGGTTTGGGACCAACATACATGAAAGACACCTACTCCCTTTAGATCCTACCTAACCACTAAAGTCATCTTTGGAGGCCCTGCTTAAAGTGCCCCCACTTTCTGAGAGTAGGCAGCTGGCAGCCAAGGACAGGGCCTTCTTGGTAGTGGCTCTCTGCAGGGAGATTTGTCTGTTCCCTTCTGTTGGCATGTTCTGCCAGTGAATGGAGAATTTTTTGTTTTGTTTGGCATTCCCTCAGTGGTCCTTCCTGCCCAGTGTTTTTAATTGTTGCTTTTGTATGTATTTTAGCTCTGGTTAATTGTTTCAGTGATGGGTTTTGAGGTGAGAGAGAGAGGAGAGATTGGATTTATACCCCACCCTTCACTACCCAAAGGAGTCTCAGAGCGGCTTACAAACTCCTTTCCCTTCCCCTCCCCACAACAGACACCCTGTGAGGTAGGTGGGGCTGAGAGAGCTCTTGACAGAAACTGCTCTTTTTCAAGAACTGCTCTTATCAGAACTACGGCCTGCCCAAGGTCATCCAGCCAGGTGCAAGTGGAGGAGTGGGGAATCAAACCCGGTTCTCCCAGATTAGAGTCCACGCACTTAACCACTACACCAAACTGGAGGTGGTTTAATGGTTTTAAAATCTGATTTTATTGCGTTTTAATTTTTTAGTAGCCTAAGTGGCCTTTCTGAGGGGGAAAAAGTGAATGCAAAGTTTGTAAAATAAAATAAACAAATTGCCTTCCTGCTTTAGGTATGCGTGATTGACTTAACGTTCTGTTATTTTTGTTTGTTTCTTGGTGCAGCCAGACATTACACTGGATACCTGGCTGGAGGGCTTGCTGCACTGGTATTCATTACAGCTGTTCTTGTATTAATCTGCATGTTGTTCAAGATTGACATCATACTTTGGTACCGAAAGTCATGCCATTTGTTTCTTGGGAAAAAAGGTAATTCCACATTACATTCTGAATCACTGTGAATGGCTTAAATAAAAGCTGTATCTGTAACCAGAGGCAAAGAAGAAAAGCTACAGCAAATAAACCAGCATTGGCAAATAGCAACCTCTACAGACGTCAGGATAAGAAGGCTGCTGGTAACTGCTAAGAATGGAGACCGGTTTTTATGTTATGGGAATGGTGTGACTGATGCTGCTTTGTGTCATTTTTCATATTATCTTGAATGATTGAACACTAGAGGTTTTGTAGGCAGCATCGTCATTCTATCTGCAGGGACTGGCAACCTTGTCTTTAGACGTAAACCCGTTGCCAGTCCCTCCCATGAAGTCTCCTCTTCACACTTCAAAACATTATTGTAGCCACATGGGAAGCAAACCCCAGGAATCTCTACAACCATGACCCTAAATCAGGATGTTTCATAAGTCACTTAAATATACTATGCAAGCTCCGTTGGCTGGTAATCGATAACTTAAAAGGAGGACATGGTATATACACTGTACTTGAAACATGAGATTGTTTAGTTCTGCAAGTCACCTTGGTTTGTGCTGCTCAGTTGCAGATGGGAAGATCTATGATGCATATGTGTTATACCCAAAAACCCACAACCCAGATCGCTTTGTTCTGAAAGTACTTCCTGAAGTTTTGGAGAAACAGTGTGGATATACTCTATTTATATTCGGTAGGGATGACTTACCAGGAAAAGGTAAAATCTGAACATTCATTTTTATGATTGCTTTTTAAACAAAACATGCAATTCATAATCTTTGTGTTTTATCCATGCTAAATGATGACTTGGCCATGACCTGGATAGCCCAGGCTAGCTTGATCTCATCAGATCTCAGAAGCTAAGCAGGGTCGGCCCCGGCTAGTATTTGGATGGGAGACTTCCAAGGAATACCAGGGCCATGACGTGGAGGCAGGCAATGGCAAACCACCGCTGAAACGTCTCTTGTCTTGAAAACCCCACGGGGTTGCCGTAAGTCAGATGTGACAATGGCACTTACCACCACCACCAAATGATGATTTGAAACACCAGCCATCTTAAACTTTCATTTAGGGCTTACACGTAAAGCACATAATTATTTTTTTACAGCAAACCAGGAAACTACTGCTTAACCTTTGGAAAGATACATGCCACCCTAATTAAAAAAAAATAGTCTTGCTTGCAAATGGTAGCTTGTATCTGAACTGCTACTTAATCAGGGCTATTTTTGGGCAGGAACACACAGGAACGGAGTTCCGTCTGGCTCCCAAGTTGACCATGTCCAGCAGGAACTCATTAGCATAATAGGCCACACCCAACAGCAGGAACTCATTAGCATAATAGGCCACACCCAACAGAAACTCATTAGCATATCCAGCCACACCCACCTTTTGCTTCTTATTCTGTTTTCCTTGTTTGTTGTCAAAACCCAGGGCTTTTTTTGTAGAAAAAGCCCAGCAGGAACTCATTAGCATAATAGGCCACACCCAACAGCAGACACTCATTAGGATTGGCTACATTAGGGGTGTGGCCTAACATGCGAAGGAGTTCCTGCTACAAAAAAAGCCCTGTATTTAATTCAGGTAAACTTTTATCACCACCTCAGTACTTAGGTAGTGATAAAGGTCAATGGATCTGTGCCCTTTGACTTCAGTTTATTAATGTTAATAATGCTTTCTAGATGCTCAATCAATGTTTCAAAATCCTAGTCCGCACTACCAATTCTTAAAAGCGCAAATGGTCAGCGTTCAATGGTTTTTCCAGCAGTTGTTCCTATAGTGGTCATACTTGTTACAGTAGGTTACTGTTTTGCAGGACTCTCTTCTAATTTTGATGCGTTTATCTCTTCTAATTTACAGCTCTGGTCACAGTGATTGATGAAACTATTAAGCAAAGCAGAAGGCTGATAATTATTTTAGAGTCAGGATCGCCAAGCTACAAATTATTAGAAGAGGATCCTGAGCAGCAGATAGCTCTATACAATGCTCTCGTGCATGACGGAATGAAAGTAATCCTGATTGAAATGGATAAAATCAAGGATTACAGTGACATGCCAGAATCCATTCAATACATTAAGCAAAAACATGGAGCCATCCGATGGAAAGGGGACCTCACAGAGAGTCAATCTTATTCTGCAAGTACCAGATTCTGGAAAAAGGTCAGGTATCAAATGCCACCAGGACATCAGATCTCCACAGAATTACCTTTGGTGGAAACTTCACTCAACACATGTCAAACAGTAGGAAGATGAGTCTTGTGTCGCTTTCATAACCCTTGGTGCACCTGCTTTGGAAGGCTGTTTTGATAGGTTTCCTTATAGTGCAACTTTGCATGGACTTCCATGTTGTTGTGTTTGCTGCTTGACTGCACTGAACTAGCATTCTTGTGTACATAAAACCCATAGGTCATTGTCAGACAAAAACAAGGAAGCTGAAAGAGCTTATTTTTATAAAGGTGTATTGAACAGCATTTTTTATATTACCAAAGTGTTTCTTAGCAAGCGAACATCTGAGTAATGGCTGCGATCTAATGGAATGTTCCCAGAATGGGCAGGGCTGCACATGAACGGACAAAACACAAGTTGAAACCTTGCTGATTAGCTGTTTGGTGAACCCAGCCTCTGCCTTCCTTCCCAAAACGTCATTCAGAGATGCACAACTTTAGTGGGAAATGTATTTGCACCCTGAGCTACTCCGTGCACACTCTGTTGGACTGAGGCCAATAACGTAGCTGTTGGATCAGGAAAGAGACTCGCACACAGAGCAACTGTTTACAAGTGACTCTCAAACCCATTCAAGGGATATCTGTGGAAGCCAACTTTTACGTTCATGTTTGAAGCCCCAGATGGATTGCTGCAACTGTAACTTTGTGTTCCTTGACTTCAAACTTGGAAATATATTTTTTTTCTGGTAACATTCTATAAATGACTGAAATCATTTGCAAGATTCTCAGGTACAAATGTTTTCCAGGTACAAATGTAAAGTTCTAGGGAGAGGGGAGAATCTTAATCTTCCGGATACATTTCATTTAATCATGTTTACTGATAATGGAAAAGGAAGCAGAATGCTTAAAAGGTTGAATCCGAAATGGCTCTTATATGTTGTCAGTGGTGTTGAAGTGTAGGAAGTTCATTGGTGAAAATGTAAGAGTAAAATTAAAATAGGTGCATCTGTGATTTACCATCTGATGCAGAAAGAATTTTTGCTGACTGCTTGGTAAAGCCTAAAGTGTTTAAGATGCATTCCGATCGTTTGTGTCTCCTGTTTCACTGTCATCAGCTCTTATTACCAGTCAACAAATTAAAGAGCTTATTGGCATTTACCCTGCCTATTTAGTAGCTTGTGTAATTATGGGTGTGCAGAACGGCTCCCAGGAAGCAATCTTTCACCCATATAAAATATTGCTCAATTGTTATATAACCATGGGTTTCCCCATTTTGAGCCTTGAAACACAGCTCCTTGCTGAAGGCAGAACACCTTACAAAGCTTTACAAAAAGACATCTCTGTGCAAGCCAGTCAACTATACAAGTAAATATTTGTATTGCAATGGTTTCATTTAAAAAAAAATTCCATAAGCCCTTACAAATGCATTGAGGCATGTGTTTCGATGTTTTTGTACTTTTGGAGGTTGGGATGACATGATTGTCCTTCCTTGTGCAAAGGAACAGAATGGACTCAATGGGGGGGAAATGCAATATACAAAACCGAATCAACTATAGCTACACATTGATAATGCAATAAAGTGTGGTTTCAGTAAACCCCAGTTAATTTGTGACATCTGAATGCAGAAAAGTCCAATAAATCAGGATATATTGGTTGGCATCGAACCAGGATTCCTCAGTACAGTTTGTAGATATCTGTTAATGCAGTTCCTGCTAACTGCAGCTTGTTGTAGTATCTGAAGTCACGCACCACAGTTTGTTGAGTAGTGCCAGCAAGGCTGGACATAGATATGGCAATATATTCAGAATATTCTCTGTCCTCATAGGTGGAGTGGAGACCAGAACAAAACAAACCCAGACAACCTGAGACTTATACACAAACCAGTTTGTCACATCAGATACACGAACCAAAAATGTGTTACGCAGGCTGCGCTTTAAACAATCCACAATTTATTGTGACATCTGCATGCAGGCTATGATGGAGAAAATGATTAACAGCAACAAAGGGTTCTGTAGACAATACTGATCATGTGTTGTTTAACAGTTATCAGGGATGCGGTCAACAAAGTAAAAAATAAATTTGATTAAAAGAAAAATGGGATGTTAACTAGCTGTGTTTTGCAGATGATGCATTACGACAGGTTCTGTCCTTTTGGCTTCTTAGGGCTGCCAGTTCCCCTCTGGCCACTGGCAGGGGATGTGGGGGTTGGGTTGTCAGATCCAGGTTGGGAAAGTCCTAGAGATTTGGGGATGGAGTAGCGTTGCCAGGTCGCCTCAGCTTTCCGGTGGGGGGGATTTGGGGGGCATTCCAAGGGTGGGCAGGGACATCGTGCGACATCTCCAATGTGGTGATGTCACATGGAAGCCTGGAAAATTGGGGAAACCCCTACCTGGACCAGGGGTCTGGCAACCCTAGGATGGAGCCTGGGGAGGACAGGGACCTCAATGGAAATGAGCTGTAATTCCAGGGGATCTGGAATTTAAATTTAAATAGGGACTGGTATCCCTATTTAAAAGAAACAAAAAGTCACTCATTGCAAGCTAGAGCAAATTAATTCTGTGGCAGGTTTACTGCATTTCTATTAAATGGCATATCCTTGTAAATCTCCAGTCTCTTTCTTCTCCTGTTTCAATCTGAAGTTCATACAGCTCTCAAGTCTCCTTTATTATGTGTACGGTTTTTCTAATAACTGCTTTCCAAACTGTTTGATTTCTGTTTATGTTTAGCTTGAAATGTGATGGTTTTTGCCTGCAAGCTCAACACCAATAGTTATTCAAAAGATAACGGATTTTGATGTACTTATTTGATTTATTTAAAACCGTTATACCCTGCTTTATCTTCTCAAACTCATGGCAGCTAACAAAGCGGAATAATCTGCAAAGCTCATGGATATGCATGTTCAGGTTTCAATTCTGAAGGTATTTACCTTAATGTAATATTATAAATGGTGGGATTTTAACACCACACCCATAAGGCACTGGTGAAAATGCAATCTTAGACTAGGTGGGGGAGATGTGGAGAAGAAAGTAGATGTTTCTTCTTCTGAGATGAATTTTTGTTTCAACACAGACCACTGTTGTCTTCAGGTTACTGAAGCCATATGCTTCATACTAAGATATTTATCCACTTATGTGGGAGTCTTTGCCTGGGGCCTAGAACACTGTAAATTCAGTGCTGGCCTGATAATTTGGGGGAGGGAATTCCAAAGTGTTGGTGCCAAAACTACTCAGTATTAAAAAGCTGCTGCTAGTAGTTTATTAGATTAATAAATTATTAGTTTTACTATGCTGGGGTAGCAAATCTCTTCTTTAACAAGAGCTGATTCTGAGTAATGAAGTATATATAAAATAATGGAATATCTGTCTGCTTGCCTGCCTAGAAATCTGATGAAATAAAGGCTTTTAATAAAAAGACCCTAGACTGGTATTTCCAAAGGGAAAAATAAATACTCCATGCCGTAGTAAAATTAATGCTAAAGCTAAAAAAAGAGAGATTTGTAATGAGAAACATTTCCAATAGCAGTGATTTTGTGACTGGGGTTTTCAGATAGTTTCAACAAAAATAGTGGACAAATAATAAAATGTTCTTTTTTTGTATTTTTTTCACTTTGGTTGTGCATGTGTGTGCCCATGTCTGGAAGTCATGGTGACCTCTGGCGACTCCTACTGGGGCATGGAGGTTGTTCAGAGAAGTGGCTTGATAGCCTGCCTCTGCCTCCCGGCCCTGGTATTCCTTGGAGGTCTCCCATCCAAATACTTGCCAGGGTCGGCCCTGCTTAGCTTCCAAAATCTGACAAGATTGGGCTTGCCTGAGCTATCCAGGTTGGGGCACAGTAAAAAAATTCTTGACCTTTGGAGACCAGGTGGCTTGGGGCAGAACAGGAGGCAGAGAAAGGGGCAGGTCCCAAAAGGGCCACTAGTGCTCTGTGTGTTTCATGCCACAGCTACTCTAGCAGGCTGATTCCTCACCAGACAAGGGGCAGTTTAGTGGAGACCTGGGCACAAAAGTCAAGGTTGGGGCCCCCCCACACCTCCTTTTTCGTACTCACCTCACTGATTTTAACCTTCCTTGTGGGGCTATTATGAGGATAAAACGGCTTAGGGGGAGAATATTGTGAGCCACTTTGGGTCCCTATTTGGTGGAAGATTTACACTATTAAGACATGTGAGGCTGATTCTGCATTGGCTTTTCCCTCTGTTGTTTTACCAAACCCACATTGGAACAGAAATTCCCCTCTGCATTGCATGCTGCTTTCACTTCTTTTGATCGTTGAATTTTATGAGAGCCTCCACACTCCATGCCGCTTTCGCTTCCTTTGATCATCGCCCCCCCGCTCGTCGAAGACGCCGTACTGGAAGTCAGATTTATGGGTGTTTTATGGCTGTTTTATGGGGTGACTGCAGGCGGTACAGGATTGGCCTGAGGTATCTGAATGTGGTTTTGAGCTGCACTTTCCCCTCCCAGTTGAGAAAATGTGGAGCGAATGCTAGATGCCGTGATCCCCGCCCCAATCCCTCCCTCATCGCCAGTGCTGCTGGAGTCAGGGCTGCAGGGCCTTCAGGCAAAATGCCACAGGTGCTGACTGCAGAGGGGGGGAAGGAGGAAAGGTAAAAACAAGATTAGTTCTCAGGGGCATAAATACCTTCTGAAGTGATTTTTGGGAAGTGCCGCTGTTAAGTCGGCTACTTAACGAACGAGTCAGAGAGTGATTTCAGCAAAAGATCAGCTTTATTCAGCAACTCGTAACTCAACTCCAAACAGATCAACGCAAATAGCCAGAACAGCTTTAGCATTGAAGCTGTTTTTCTTTTAAACTCTCCCGGCTAATATAGCCACGCCCTGTTTTACAATACCAATCTATGAGGTTGTACGGATAAGGACCAATCACAAGTGTTCCCTCTCATGGAACTGGATGTTGGTGATTGGTGGTCTCTTCCTGGGCTACCAATAGTAATTGAGGGCTTAGGATCCTAGCCCAGGACGAGGCTTCACATGGTGTTTCAATCACTGCATTTACAAACATACATTGGCACATTGAATACACCACAGCCGCACTGATTTTGGAACAGTCACACACACACACACACACACACACACACACACGCTCTGGGCTGTTGTAGGGCATGATTTCTTGAAAATTTACGTCCTTTATTATGCTTGCTCCCAGTAGTTGCTTGGACTATCCCCACTGCCTTTTGCAGCTGCCTAAGCAGAGAAGCAGTCTTCTTTTTTCCAAGATGGGAGCCAGAAGAGGCAGTCAGTTTGTAGGGGGTGGGAGAGGCAGGACAGGTAAAGCAACTCCCCAACCGAGAAAGGAAAAGACAAAGAATTTAAAAAGCAACACAAAATTGAGCAAAGGTTAACTTCCTACCTTGCAGCACATAAGAGACACAGAAAACCAGTCCTCGACACATGTACAATTAAGAAGAGATTGGATTTATACCCCGCCCTTCACTTGGAGTCTCAGAGCGGTTTACAAACTCCTTTCCCTTCCCCTCCCTACAACAGTCACCCTGTGAGGTGGGTGGGGCTGAGAGAACTCTGACACAAACTGCTCTTTTTCAAGGACAGCTGTGCCAGAGCTTGTGGCTGACCCAAGGTCACATCAGCAGGTGCAAATGGAGGTGTGGGGAATCAAACCTGGTTCTCCCAGATTAGAGTCCACGCACTTAACCACTGCACCAAACTGGCTCTCAGTTCACTAGAGTTTGATCTCCTATTCTGCCCCTCTGTTGTCCTCACTTTCTAGTTTAACCCCTTGTCCCCCTGCAACTCTGTCCCTTTGGAACTGCCTGGTTCTTGGAACTCTTAATTAGCAAATACTAAATATTTATATCTCTGTCCTTTTCTCGATTTATTTCCCAGACAGAGGCAACAAATACTAAACTGTGCAGGTTAAAACTGGACACCCGGCAACCCTACAAGTTGTGATAAGGGTCAAAACAATTACTACCATTAACAAAAAGGCAAACCATTAGCTCCCAACAGGGTGACACTGCAACCTCCTATTTGCAAATGTCTGCTACCGTACATGCTACTGACATCTCACCTTCCCCACAATTACATATATTCAAGTCAGAGTCAATTGGACCCCTTCTTCATGCCCACTTGAAGAAATGCTCCCTATTTCCATCGTCTTTCATTCTCACTCAGGTGAGGACCAGAAAGCCAAAATAGCCCAGGAAAAGGGTCCCTCCCTTCCCCAGACATGGCTTCCTCACGGAGGAAGGACGGGCAGATGGAAGTGTGGCTGTAGGCAACTTGCCTTATCTGGGGCTGCTATGTGTGAGGCAAGATTCACCCCCAGCCCATCATCCCACTTAGTGGTAGAAAGTGCTATCAAGTCACAGCTAATTTATAGAGACCCATAGGGTTTTCAAGGGAAGAGATGAATAGAGGTGGCTTGCCATTGCCTGCCTCTGCTCAGAGACTCTGGATTTCCTTGGTGGTTTCCCACCCAAGTACTAACCAGGGCCAATCCTGCTTAGCTTCCAAGACTGAACTAGCCTAAGCAATCCACCTTTTATGTAGGAAAGGGAAACAGCTAACAACAGCATTGGTTCTAATTCCTCTTCCACAAAGAGAGAGAGAGGACCAGTTGATTGAGCTTTCTTGGATCTTTGAATCTCACAAGAGTATTCTGTCTCATGATCTTTTCCTGGGTCATCTGGGGGCTGCATAACCCATACTATCTTTCTCCAACGTTCCAAATGCACACCTTTAGTGTTTGGCCGCAAGAACTGTCAGTCAGAAGACGCTGGCTGGGTTGACTGGCTGCTTTGTGCAGTCCCGCCCAGCGTTTCAAGGTCTTTTGCATATGGAAGCTGATTGGACTTCACTCCATTCCACACCTCAAACTCCCCCC